TGGCTCCACCGCCAGAGACAATTAAAAATGCTCATTGACACTCAAGATGTGCACTTTACTTCGTGCATCAATGCCAAATGTGTGCCTATTCGCAGTGCATGTGTGAATGCAAGGTATTCCTGTGACATCCGCAATTATATTCCAGAATGCCGCTGGAGATCGAAGACATATTTTATCACATCCTGTCGATTAACTTTTTGAGGGCGATGGTGTGCGTAGTCCTGTGACTTTCGGTAGGTGTGGCAGACGGCGCTCTGTAGAGGACGGCTCACGGCTCATCGTACCCATAGCCACGACCTCGGCCCTGGCTGAGCCTGTTGATCTATACGGGAGGTCAAGTTGTTGTTGCTATGGCAACAACTGCAAACTCTAATGTCACGAGTGTTTCGCTTAAATCTTCTAATGGCTAAGACGCCGCCAAGGGGGGGAGGGTGGTTTACGTCGCAGAATGCCTCAGGGTAACGGTATACCTCAAGTCATAATCACAATTCGCATGATTATCCGAGAACGGAGAACGTGACTGGCTAAAAGTGGGTCCCAGGTGGCTAAGCGCTGACGGCCGGTAATCAAAAGGAACAATCTGCAAGGCTGTGCTTAAGAGGGCATTTATGTAAAGATGACACGGACTTGTTGATTATGAAAAATCTTAGCGAAGCTGCTTGCCATTACCGGCTAGCGAAGTTAACCAAGCGGAAATGTTGTCTATTTGCGAACTCTGAGTTTTGGGTCACAGATATGTGGGATGTCTTTATGCATAGCAAAATGCGCATCCAGCATAGTAAAATGGTACGCCGAGTTAAGCCTAACATACAATATACGCCAAACTTATGGAAATTTGAGGGCAATTCACAAGTATGTCGTCAGTCTACAAAAATTTCACAAGTGGAATTACAATTAGCACCAGCACATATTGTGGTTCAGATTTATCTCATTCATCGTTGCACGTTAGTTTGTCATAGACAGTATTTCGTTTAACAAACCAACTTTCAGATGGGATATAATCAGAAATTTTAGGGCGGATATTTTGTCAGGGGAATTTTTTGGGAAGGGGTGTTCGGATTACATAATTCAGCCTGTATAGGAAGAACTGACAATCATATATTCTGATCTTATTGCAGGAAATAACCTCTCAGTACTCAATTTTCGACGAAAACGAAACTTGTCCGGTGGAAAAAACCCATAACCTGAGAATCTGCTTCAAATCTGGATTCGCATGTTTCGGAATCCTAATATCGGCATGTTTGTCAGTCTTGGTTGCACCGAATGTCCAGCTGTTTTCAGCTATTTTTGAAGGATAGGAATTCTGTACATTGAAAATTGGAAAAATGTGCAAGAAAGCGTTTCAAGGCCCAAATTATTTTCAGTAAGCGCGAAATGTGAAGAAAACACGCCTGTTACATTTTTAATAGTACTCATAGAGAAATCGTGACACTGTCGCCCCCCTAGAGCAGATGTTTGTGTCTAGGAGTCCAAAGCATGAAATGCCCTCTGTTCGCTCGAATAGGTTAATACCATATGAAAAAAGAACCTTAACTCACGCAAGTCCGCGCTTTTAATGCTGCAGCAAGGCTGGGTACAAAAGACTCATATAGTCTGCTTAAGAACTGACAGTGCATGACCGATCTCATGAAGTGTTGGCTGAAATTCTGAAATGCGTTTTGGATTAGGAAGGATTACTTAGGTGGGATTGTAATACTGCTCATCATACGACATAATCCTCAAGTATTTCAAACCCGCAAGGATGTCGGCTTTCGAATGCATTTCTTTTCGACCTCCTGCAGAAGCCACACTTGGTAAAAAATGACTACCTAAGTGGCATGCATTTTCACATTGATTTTCGATGGTCTTATAAATTCAAATATATTTTATAGAAATATATTTTATATTTTATAGAAATATAGAAATACATTTCATAGAAAAAAAATGCTTTTTACTCGTTTGGCAGAAAGTCACATTATTTTTATATTTTGCACCCGAAGAAATGGCATATTCCGGTTTTAAAAGTCTCTAATTATAACATTTAAAGACCGTGCGATGTCCATACATACAGCATCGCACATGCCCGTTTACCAGTGCTCCTCATGGTACGTACAACATAGTCAGCATCCATTACAAAATTTTAATGAACTCCACATGGTATCTTCTTAAATCCATAAAGGAATATATGATTTTCCTTACGGGGATAGCATGCACCTTGTAGACTGGAATTGCTTAACTCTTATGCAAAGGCTGATGTGGATCAAAATTATTCAGGAATTGGGAAACTTTTTCAAAACCTAAATATACACTTTCTTCGAGTACAAACTATAAAGATAGTGTGACTTTTTACCAAACTAGTTGAAGGTAGCCTATTTTTGTGCATCTTTTCTTCAAAATATACTTGAATTTAAAAGACCCTCGAAAATCAATGTGAAAAATACATGCCACTTAGGTAGTCATTTTTTATCAAGTGTGGCTTCTGCAGGAGGTCGAAAAGAAATGCATTCAAAAGCCGACATCCTTGTGGGTTCGAAATACTAGAGGATTATGTCGTTTGATGAGCAGTATTACGATCCCACCTAAGTAATCCTTCCTAATCCAAAACGCATTTCAGAATTTCAGCTAACACTTCATGAGATCTGTCACGCACTGGAGATGTGTAACCGTTTCTTCTCGGAGTGCAGATTGCAGATTTTCTCGTCTTCAAAAAAATATCCTTAGGTATGATGATGTGCGCGGCCGACGGATTCTGTCGCGGTGGTCTTTGGGATATTTCACAGCTCTCTTTTCTGGGTGTCGACAGTGGTATGCACTTCCAGGCTTTGCATGTGTTCCAGGTTGGAGTCCATGCAACTGCTAAAATTCAATCGGCGTCCAACCACATCCCAATGGTGCAGTATTTCTATTGCCTGGTGTTGACTTACGTTGAGATCGCCTGTGGAGTTGCAGTTGCAGCCTCATCCTGGAAATGACACGGTGACCCGTCTGGCAGTCGGCACCGCACGTCGCATTAGTCGCTGGCTTGCCACGCTGATCACGCCATCTTACGAAGACGTAACCGATCAACTGACCGTGACGCGAGCGAGGATGCATCTACGTCATCTTCCAGATCAGGAAGCAGAAAATGTTGGGCGGATGAAATTTGCGTTCCGTGTGGGCTTGTAGGAGATAAAAGCCACTTAAACTGCAGCTGTGGATCCCGTAGCACCAACAAACGCCTTCCCGCCTTATCTACTCAACTGCCTGATCCTCGCGTATATTTTACTGCTACTACTACTACAACTACTACTACTACTACTACTACTACCGCCAACACTACTACTACTGCTACTACTACTACTACTACTACTACTACTACTACTACTACTACTACTACTGCTATCACAACAACTATTACTACTAAAACCAATACTGCTACTACCACCACCACCACCATCACAATCGCCGCGACCACCACGAACATTGCCATCACCACCACCACCACCACCACCACCACCACCGCCACCACCACCACCACCACCACTACCAGACCTCAAGGACTTTTGACTGCATCTCCGGGAGGCATGCCGTATTTCGCCAAAACGGCTACTTCTGCTGCCACTACTACCATTACTACTTGTACTACCACTACTACTACAACTACCATTACCATTACTGCTGCTACCAGTACTACTACTCCTACTGGCAACAATATGATGAATGACCAAAACCATCAGTGACAAGCCTCAGGGTCTTGTCATACGGGGAAGGTGGTAATAGGGGTTTTACGAGTGGGACATATTGATGGTAGTGAACTGATACAAAATAATAAAAATACGTAAGATATTCGATTTGGGCCGTAAAACTTTAATACGCTCCCATATAGCAAAACGACGATTAAAAGGATGAACCATAAATAAATTTTAAGGAATAAGGCAATTTAAGTAAACCGCCACTGGATAGTCTACAGCAGGTCAGGAATCCGAAAAAGGTTCAACCAATGAGAACGAGTAAAAAGATGTAAGGGAACCAGCTACATTGCAATTTGGCGTACGGTTTTGCGATGCCAGTGAATGCTAAACCAACGAAACCTAACCAACTGGGTACGCATATTAGAATTCAAAAAAAACGTAAGCAATAAGTTTGTTCGTTATTTTCGGAGTAGGATAACTGTGTACAGCTGCACAGATTTTAAAATCCCAAGTAGTTAAACAATGGATACCTAAAATGAAGCGTTTGTGTGTAGTGATGCAGTGGGTTTCTAAAAAGTTTTCTTACCAAACGTGCAGGGCATCGGATACAGTGGTCAGAAAAGTGGGCAAGCTTATCCATATCTTCGGACGAAAGCCGAAGAAGTAATAGAGGAAAGGAATTCGGAGAAAGTGATGGAGTATTGCCAGGCAAGAGGACTACTGCCAAATGTAGTAACCTGCAAATGCAGACAGCTAATGAAACGACAAGTCCGGAGGCGTCACACAGACCGATGTGTCTTCAGATGTGTTCAGTGCTGAAGGAGGAAATCCCTTAAAACTGACTCGATATTTGAAAAGAGCCGACTCACAATCGGGACAGTCATGAAGAGATTACTGTCTTTTTTAAAGAAAACTAGGGTGACTGAATGCGAAAAAGATATTGGCCTATCTCACAACAGCTGTTTAGTGGTTATGCATTCTGTCGAAATGTACGCTCCACAGCTCTCATGAAGGAAACCAAACAGATTGGCAAACCAGGGATAGAAGTGCAAGCTGATGAAACCCTTAACAGCAGTATCGCCTATGGTTTGGCCTAAATGCTATAGAACTGAAGAAAGCATGGGAAGTCTCTCTGTCCCCCGCGGCTAAGAAATATCCAGTATAATGGAAAACCTTCACTGTAGAAGTGGACAATTTTTAAGTAGTGTTCCTTACATAAAGCCGCTGCAAGCTAACTGTCTTGTAATACCTTGGATATTAGGACTGCAGCAGAACGACCCTTTTCTCGTCTGTTTATTCTAAGGCAATGTCTGCGACGGACGATAGCAGCGATATGATCACTTCTCAACTCTCTGAGCTAAGGTCATGGTACCTAATGGTAAATTAAATCGGGACGTCTGCAAAGGCCGACGGAAGCGATAAGATTGCTTGCCGACTCTGCGAGCTAAGTTCTAGTCAAGTAAATGCGAACTGCAAGGTAATATCCTCATTCGACTTGATACCGGTAGGGAACCAAAGTGGTACGATTGTCTGTCGACGATCTGAACTTAGTTGAAGGCATGGTATCGCTGAGAGGAAGATAGTGCCTGCACTGGTCTCAAGACATGAAGCGTCCAAAAGACAAATAAGAATGCCTACTAAAGCAAATACAGCAGAAGGTTCTGCGAGGGATAGTCCGCTTTGGGTGTTACAACCCACCGTTCCATACTACTCATCAAGCAACGGGCTAGGTTAACAGCTAGCCAACCTTTCAGTCCCCGCCACCGTCGCCATCGAAGAGAACGCCTCCGTGGAGAACCGATGGTGCCAACTGCGGTACACAAGCCACTCGAAGGTTCTGGCTGTCCTCGGTCGCGCACGTCACCAACACCAGGACTGGTTCGATGACAACAAGGCCGTCATCAGCAACCTGCTCGCCGATAAGGAATGCCTGCACAAAGCCTACATCGAACGCTCCACCGAAAAAAAACAGAGATACTTTCTACAGTAGTCACCGCCTTGTGCAACAGCGGCTGCCTGAAATGCAGGACACTTGCAAGGCGCGCACGACCAAGGAGATTCAAGGGAACGTGGACCGCAACGAATGGAGGAACGTATTCTCCGCGATTAAGACAGTCTACGGTACGCCAATCAAAGGAACTGCTCCTCTTCTTATCTCTGGCGACAGTACCCTCCTCATCGAGAGGACACAAATACTACAGCGATGGACCGAGCACTTCCGAGACGTCCGCAATCGTCCATCCACCATCTCCGACGCCGCCATCGCCCGCTGCTGCAAGTGGAGACCAACGCCGAGCTCGACATCCCCCCCTATCTACACGAGACCATCAGGGCTGTGCAGCAACTCTCCAGCGGGGAGGCGCCCGGATTGGACGCGATCCCTGCTGAGATCTACAAGCACAGTGGCCCCCAACTCATGGCTCATCTGACAGCGCTCTTCCAGGAGATGTGGCGTCAAGATAAATACCGCAGGATTCCAAGGACGCCACAATCATGCATCAATAGAAGCGGAAAGAAAACCGCCAAATCTGCGACAGCCGCCGAGGTATTTCCCTGCTAAACATCGCCAGAAAGATCTTCGCTCGCGTCATTCTCATCCGCATGAACAACCACCTAGAACAAGATCTGCCGCCGAAAAGCCAGTGCGGCTTCCTTCGTCATCGTGGAACCGCAGATATAAGCTTCGCGGCATACCAACTTCAGGTGAAGTGTCAGGAGATGCGGAACCATCTGTACTCTGCCTTCGTGGATCTGACAAATGGCTTCGACACGGTGAATCGCGAAGAACTGTGGAAAATCATGCAGAAAATCGGCTGTACCTAACTATTCAGTCAGATGGTGCGTCAGCTCCACGACGGCATGATGGCGCGCGTCACGGACAATGGAGCTGTCTCAGAGGCGTTCGCGGTGACCAACGGAGTGAAGCAGGACTGTGTCCTCGAGCCTACCCTTTTCAGCCTAATGTTCACTGCCATGCGGATGGACGCCTACCGTGGCAAACGTCCTGGGATCCGCGTCGTCTACAGAACGGACTGCTCAACCACCAGAGGATGAATTTCTGGTTGCGTGTATCCACGCACACCGCCCACGAACGTCTGTTCACCGATGACTGCGCCCTCAATGTAACTACTGAAGGAGACAGGCAAAGGAGCATGGATCTCTCCTCCGCCGCCTGCGAGAAATTCGGTCTGATCATTAATACGGAGAAGACGTGATCATGCACCAACCGCCAGCCGGCACTGCCCAAAAAGTGCCGCAGATCAGCGTGAACGGAATCCAACAGCAAGTGGCGGACAACTTCACTTATCTGGACAGCACCCTCTCCCGCAGCAATAAAGTCGACGGCGAAGTTGCCCGCCGCATTTCCAAAGACAGCCAAGCCTTCGGCCGTCTACAGAATGCCATCTGGAACCGCCACGGCCTCCATCTAAACACGAAGCTGAAGATGTACAAAGCAGTCATCCTGCCGACGCTGCTGCATGGAACAGAGACCTGGGCGGTATACAAAAAGCGGGCACGGAGAATCAATCGCCTCCACCTCAGTTGTCTTCGACGGATACTGAAACTGAGGTGGCAGGACCGAATCCCCGGTAATGGCGTATTGGAACGGACCGGATTTCTTAGCATCTACAACGTGCTGAGACAATTGCAACTGTGTTGGAGCGGCCACCTCGTGCGGATGGACGACGGGCGGCTACCCGAACGACTTTTCTACGGAGACGACGCCACGGGTTCCCGCTTCCCATAAGGCCAAATCCGTCGATACAAGGGCACTCTGATGACCTCTCTGAAGCGTCTGCAGATCAACCCGGCCAACTGGGAAGACATCGCTCAAGACCGACCGATCTGGCAGAGGGCAGTCTAGACAGGCGGAGCGATCTACGAGGCAAACCGCATCGTCGCCGCAAAAGCCAAACGGAAGGTACGCAAATCTCAGCTGCGCCCACCTAGCAACCCCAACATTCAACCGCCCCCAACGTGTCCACGATGTAAGCGGACATTCCGGGCACAAATTGGACTCGTTAGACACCTTTGGATCGACTGCACTACTCGGAATGCACTAACCGTTGTCTCTCCGTCCACCTCTCACTCGCCTTCTATACCGTCAGTTAACACTGACCGCCCTCCCGAACCACCACTGCTATTCTCCTCCTCCTCCTCTTGCTCCTACTCCTACTCATACTCCTCCTCCCCATTATCCTGCCGCACTGCCTCAACGTCTGCCGTTGTGGCGTCTGTCACGCACACCAACATAACACACCATCCTGACACACCAACAAACATCAACCCCACTACCGCCAACACCAGTGGTGAGGACCTGGTCTACACATTTCCTCATTGCGACCGCAACTTCACCTCAAGCATCGGCTTGGTCGGTCACTTGCGAATCCATCGCTCAAAGACTGGCGAACCAGTGTCTGGAGCACCAACCTACATCCGCCGCATTCGCCTCCACTGCCCACACTGCCCCCGCACATTCATACATCGCATTGGCCTATTCGGCCACATGCGCGTCCACGAAAACTAGCCGTAGACAACCGCCAGCTAAACCACAACATCACATCCTCCCTCACTAACATCTCACCGCACATCAGCATCACCCACCACAAGCACCCTAATGCCACCTCCCAGGCAAGTAGGAAGTGTGCGTCTCGACTCGGTCCCCGTGCGGCTCCTGTTGCATGGGTGACTCGAGCCTGAGACTATCCCGGTGCATCTAGCGCCGCGTATTGGAAAGCTGCTGACTGACGCCCCAACTCGGTCCACGCAGTCCGTCCAGTTGTGTTTGTGTGCAGTGGCGGAATGGTTGCCTGACAGCCAGTCTGAAGCGACCCCTTCTCAACGTGACCTACGGCATTCTCATGCATGTGAGATGTACGCCGCTCAATCCCCCATTGTGTGAAATCATCGTGATTGTGTTTGCGGGCCAGGTCGTGCATGTGGCGCACACAGACAACGTCACTAGATATGTCAGCCACCGCGCCCATTCCTCGCATCAGTCAACTGACCGGCTCGGACAGTGCCTGAGGCACAGGAATGAGAAGGGAGAGTGAAATCAACGACTCCGAGCATTTTCATCACTAAAACCAATCTGACGCACTTGAAGCTATCACGATGCTCTAAAAGCCGTGACTTGGAAGGTTGCCAACTGACAGAATAACTTGGAGTTCGCAGTCGACCCAGTGGTGTGTGTGCTGCAGTTGTGGAGTGGCCGGATGGTGGTCTAAGAGTCAAGTTGAAGTGGGTCCTTCTTAATGTGGCCTTTATGGCACTCCCACTGTGTGGGATCTGAGTCGGGTGTGGCGGCAATCCTAGGCCGTGCCAACCTCCATTCTTTTGTTGTTGTTGTTGTTGTTGGTGGTGTTGGTGGTTAAAATCCGGGTTAAGTGTGTGTTGTGGACCAGGGGGTGTGGAGTGGAATGCCCCGGTGCTGGCTCGACCGTGCCATTCACCTGCGGCCTCCCACATCTCCGGTCTTCTTGGCTCTGTCTTGACACCGTGTCCAAAAGCCCATACACGCGTGTTTCGCCGATGTTTTTGCCGCTGCATGGCGCAGCTGCGAAGGGTTCGGCTCATCAGTGGGTCCCCCAGCATTCCCTGTGTGTTTTCTTGTAGATACTCTAATTTAAAAATTGTCGTTTTTTAATGTCCTCAGAAATTATGTACGAAGTTGGAGTAGATCAGTTTATTCAAGGTCTATAGGCTCAGAACGAAAATTTTATACATGAATATTCGGGCCAAAGTCCATCAGCCACAGTGGGTAACCCCGTACTATTCATGTAGCGGCAAAAACATCGGTGAAACACGCGTGTATGGGCCTTTGGTTAGTACTTATGCTGTTAGCATGGTATCACCTTACCCTGAAATATACTACTAGCTGCCTGTCGGCAGTAAATGAATATTACGCGTTTACCCTCTGTGGCTGATGGACTTTGGCCCAAATATTCATGTATAAATTTCTCGGTCTGAGCATATAGACCTTGAATAAACTGATCTACTCCAACTTCGTAGATAATTTCTGAGGAAATTAAATGCGACAATGTTCCCATATCCTTCTGAACGAGCGTTAATTCTTTTCAATTCGAATCTTTTTTGAGTTCTGTATCAAAATGCGCAATGACAACACATTGCTATAAAACGGCACTCGTTTAAATGGCTAATTGAAATGCAAAAAAGGATGCAAATACGCCAAAAACGCAGAAGAAACTATGGAGAAGTGTCAACAACACACCCTTCTAACAAACTTACCTGTTGTCTAATTTGTTGGTCTTGCGCCTCAAAGGAAATTTAGCCATGCTAGATAAGTCGGTTGAAATTTAGACAGCATTTCCTGGATTACGCATTAACTGGTCGTGCTTCAAAAACTGATGATACGGATTGTATGTTCCTTCGCACTACAGATACGAAGACCTTCAGCCTTCGTTTTTACCCCATTCTTAAAAAGACTCACTTCTTTTCTCAGGTCTTTAGGACCATTTTCAGATTTCTTGGACGATCCCCTTTTTTCAGTGAGTGCTTGATGGGACAGTTTTTGGCCTCAGAGAGAACCCAGGAATGTCTGCACTGTAATGCACGGCTTCTCAATGTTTTATTAACAGGCGGCAAAGTGACCAGGTGAATAATGGTGATAGACCGAGAAAGACATGGTGAGCAGGGGATTGCACCCGTTCCGGGCTACTAATGTCCTTTGAGGCCGGCCATATACCTCACCAACACCTGCAACCGGAAGCGTAAACATGCACACTCGTACTTTGCAGATGGTCAGTGAATTGGTTTTTGACCGAAGGCCATCACTAATAACGCCCCGCAGTTCCAACGTGTTTCTTCATCAGCCAGTCGGTGTCACAGCAGATCCGGTATGTATATTCAAGGCTTTAGTTAACTAAAGAGGGTATAAGTATTCTGATGACAGTTTCTTTTCTATCCTCTCATCGTCTTTCTCTGTTGACCCTTGCTAACGCCTGCTTTATGGCCTAGAGCGTTGTTGTTTGTTTGTGCCCTCTACGACTCTAACTAGTTTGTTTGTCTTACTTACGAGAAAGCAAGCCATGTGAGAACACTGAGTGTTTTTTACCTTTTAAAACTAAGGCAGGCCTCAAATATTATGCTGGCTGCGAATTTTCAAAGCAGATCAGGTATGGCGTCTAGCTAAAGCTCTACTGATCAGAAGGAGAAGCGATCGCTGGAACAAGGGCTTTATTCGCCTGACGTTTCGGATTCTCACTTGAATCCATCATCAGAGACAGTAGCAGAAAAGGGTGACTCGTGCACAGGAAGTTTCAGTATTCACAGGATGCAGTCGCTATGCTACCGCATACCTATAGCAATTAACCGCGCTCCCCTTCATCAAGGATTGTTCCCCACTGGTGCGCTAATGGCTTGTTAGCCGGCATGCAAGTTGTTAATTGCCGAAATGTCATCACCCGTGTTGGATGCTGGCGTGATGATTGCTCGGCCATCTGGCTCACCGGCTTGCTCGCTCCTCGAGTGGTCAATTGCTTTGGGCAGCCTATGCCTCAGCACGGAATATGGAGTGGGGATGTCGTTGCACTTGTTGGTAGACTGAGGTCCCCTGAACCATGACTCAAGCAACTCGCGGCTCACGCGATTATCCCCTCTCGAGAGAATTTCAGCCTCATCGAACTTGAATTTGTGGCCGCGTCTCGTCGAATGGGCCGCGACCTGAGAGTTGGCGTCATTTCTCCGTACCGCTGCCGCGTGTTCGGCAATTCGCGTTTGGAGCAGTCTTCCAGTTTCTCCGACGTAAGTGCTTTGTCCGCAACTGAACCAGATCCGGTAAACGACTCCAGATGTTTCTTGCTGTGGCAGTGGGTCTTTTGGTCTCATCACCTGACGCCTCATGGTGGCCTCCGGTCTGTGTGCAACACCAACCTCAAGTGGTGAAAGAAGGCGACTAACGGCCCCAGAGACATTGTTGATGTACGGGATCGCTCGCCAGAATTTGGGGTGGGCACGGTTTTGTCGCTCGCCTTGTTTGCGCATACACCGGTTGACGAAGTTGCGCGGTTAACCATTTTCTCTGAAAACCCGTCGAAGATAATGGAATTCGGCAACCTTGTCTTCCGGTTCACTGCAGTGCGCCTCAACAAGCCGAAATAGCGTTCTTACGCAACTGCGTTTGTGGCTGATGGGGTCGTTACTGTTGAAGTTCAGTATTTGCGTCGTGTTCGTCGCTTTTCTGAACACTTTGGTCTTTAGGCCACCACAATCTTTGCGGCAGACGAGGACATCAAGGAATGCCAGCTGGATATTTTCTTCCTCCTCCGTCGTAAATTGTATGTCCGGGAAGACGCTGTTGAGACGTTCTTTGAACGTTAGCACCTGATCCCGTTCGATGACGACGAAGGTATCGTCCACATACCGAGCCCAGAATTTTGGTCTGTGGTGTTGGAAGACAAGCGACTCCAACCACTGTAGGACCGCCTCGGCGATGAATCCCGAGATCGGCGAGCCCATTGGTGTTCCCTTCACTTGCTCGTAGATTGTTCCTTCAAACGTGAAGTACTCTACTGATTCGCGCTAAGATTGCCTACTAGCGTTGAAAAGCACAGGTCTTTCAGTCTGGTGCAGCTGAAGTATGGCAGGCCGTCGACGGCAAATAAGCCGGGACTAGTCCCTTCTGTCTTCTCTATTCCTGTCGGCAACGCTACTCAAGTGTTGCTGATTGGCTGTCACTATGCAGCCGCCTGCGAGGTCAGAAATGAACTTTCCCACGTCGTCCGGTGAACAATGCAGATTGGGTAACGCCAACTGTGCGCGCAGCGGGCATATGTGCCATGCTTTACGGTCAGAGGACTGCGTAGAAGCCTTTTTTGAGCCTTTTTGACCATGAGCTTAGTCAGTAACAATCGGGAGATGGCACCCAAAAAGATCCGTTACCTACAAATAATACCTTTAACAGTGGACTCAAAAGATACAAAGTATGCTGGAAGGAGTCCAGACAAAGACAAGGGAGGCTGGGCTGGTCATTTCTGGCCCAGTAGCTGTCGTCAACCAGTCTTACCCAAACCCGGACTTTGCCGCACGTGAGACCCTAACCCGCGTTCTCTACTCATGGAGCGTTATAAAGTCCAGCCCTCCGATCACTGAGCAACGAACCCGTTTACCTGTCAATTGCGATTGTAAATATTAATCATGTTGGAAGTGCGTTCACCAATCGGATTGTGAGATATACTCATCCCCTTGTGCCTTGGGACTCATCGTAGAGCCCTCGTAGACAGTCACATAGTGGCCGGGAATATTTACTGAAAAGAGCCTCATCAAAGGCAAGGGGGACTATTTCTGTCTTATTAACTGTCATCAGTCAGCCTTATCCTAATCCAACATAAGTTTTGACATAAGACTTCAACTTAATGCTTTGGGAGGACATGTGGGTTATTGGTATAGCAAGGAAATACTGAACTTCGAGGGCAAGTGGAGTTTTCCCATATATTCATTTGGGAAACTTTCTACAAGGGGGTTAATTTGTTGTTACTTCCGTCAGTGTCCCAGCGTGCAGTGGGGGTGCTAACCTACGAAATGTCATGGAGTTAGCACAAGGAAATCCCTATAACGCGAAATCCATCCAAACTGCTTTCACCAAAGTTTTATAGCAGTAAAAAAATAACTGCTCTTAAAAAAAGACGTTGGCGAGTTTAACATTTAATACTTCCTAACTGAAAACTAGAATATCAGAAAATTGCTATGTTACAAATCGCTTAAATAGGGCTAACTGTAAGAGGGATCACATCTGAAGTCACATTTTGATACCGGGCAAGTTTACTCTACTGAAATTACTTTAAGGCAAACCCTGTTGCAAATTTTAATGATGTCTAACCAAGATAGTTGGCATCTGTCTGATATGGAAGAATGGACTTTACCAACAGTAGAATTATTTAGGTATTAACTGGTTCACAAAAGTTACAGTAGGACACGGGTAAGCTCATCAAATGACCGCTAATTTGAACGTAGTGAACAATGCCGAAAATGGAGGAAGACTATACTAGCCTTTCCGGGACACGCACTAAAGATAACATGATGGTTTTCTTTATACTATCTATAATGCAGGCATCCCAGCTCTGGTAATATGCAACAAAAATCACTTTCGGAATGAAAAAGTAAGACTAAGCGGTAACAATCGGGAGATGGCACCCAAAAAAATCCGCCTAACCAAGGCAGCCTGCCTTACGGGACAGGTGGTAATAGGGGTTGAATGGGTGGTGGTTGGTCGGGATGTACGGTACTAGCGGATAGAAATCCTTATTTAAACAGGTGAATGATCGAAGTTGATCCGCTCTCCGTTATGTTATTACAAAATTGGTCGCCAAAGGCAGTATAGTGATAACGGACGAGTGAAGAGCGTAAAATCGTCTCCTCTCAGAAGGTTATCTACATTTCTCTGTTAACCACTCAAATAACTTCAAGGACCCTATCACCGGACGGCACACCAATGCCATTGAGGCATACTGGAGTCGACTGAAAAGGAAACTCCTCGAGGGAGGCCCTGTATGTGGTCGAGCTGTGTGGGCTCACATAGACGAAGTACAGTATCGTCTTTGGCTTGGCCTCAATGTCATGTCTTTTACAGATGCATGGGAACTGTTCCTGTCCCATTTTCTGCAGACGTATCCCGTTTAAAAGTGTTTTTGTTTTGTAATAAACTGCCATAAGGCGAATGTCTGCCGTATATTCAGGTGTACGTGTGTAACGATGGGGAAGGTTGGGTAACAGCGACCATCGTCCATGTAACCTCCTGCGATGTTCTTTCGGCCAGCCCATGTTAGGCCGTCGCATAAAGTCCATATAGTGCGCGAAAGGAGGCCTGCAACCGCTGATATAGCCTGAAGGCGTTTGAGTCCACTGTTAAAGGTATTATTTCTAGGTAACGGATTTTTTTGGGTGCCATCTCCCGATTGTTACCTCGCATACTTTTATTTTGTAGGAATAAGCGTGTGATGAGCACAACCACTTGTATATCAATAAAAAAAACAGGAAAACGACGGACTGGCTCGTGTGCACCTAAAATGCAGATGACCTATCGAAACCGTTGTTAGGTTTCCTGTCTATGTGTCACCTGCGCCAGTGGGGAAATAAGAGGGCATACAAGCAGAGAAAAGGCCAAAATAGATCGTCTTATTGCGTTAGTAAAGTTTTAAGCCTCACACTGCAGAGTTGTTTGTATATTTTCAATCCTGCTCGATAGGACTGAAGACAGTTGCGGTAAATAAACTGAACCATATGCAGATTGATAGATGAAACTCGGCTGCCAACGGCGTTCCAATTGTCTGCAGCCGCAGTTTCTCAATGTCTGCAACGAACCAAATGTCAAAGTATCCGGATCCTGCCTAGTAGCTGTAAATCAGTCTGCCTGGAGTGTCAGCACGTTTGCCGTCATGACTAGATTCTGCAATCTGGAGCTGGAATATACGGTCGAACGAAAAAATGGTCTGAGACTGGACAGCCAGTTGTATGGACTGAAATGGCCGAGAGGCAGCTGGGTCAACAAAACCGACGCTGGACAGGGATTAACAGATACTCTTAATTTTTTACGCCTCTTTTCCATTTCCATAGTTTTCTCCCAGGCTAAACTTAGCGACAAGGTTTCCGTAAATTTTGATAGCATCAAACACCATTTGACGGGAGCGCACGTTATATTTGGCCCGAGAAAGGTCAGCAACGCACTTGATATGCTCCAACGAGGAAACCCGAGTCCCTCAATTCAACTCCCTTGAATGAATCCTCGCTTCAAATGCCAGCGAATGGGTCCCCTTCCTATCAGGCCATTAAGCAAATTTGCGTGCCGAACAAAACTTGAAAGTGGGAGAGAAGGAGAAAAAGTCATGGAGTTGATTTTTGGGCTTGGAAGGACTGGAGTAGGAGTGTCAGCAAAACTGACCACGGATGTGTATCTGCACTACAAATTTCACGCTTATTAATGGTCCACCCATAATAAAGAGCTCTGAGGGGAAAAAGCCCTATTAGGAAAAAGCGTAACTCGGCATTTTGAGATTTGGTTAGCAAGTAAAACCATAATTGGTGCGTAGGATTTATACAAAAGCAATAGTGAAGGCGACTTACAAAGCGCACTTACAGGCTTCCTTAAAATAGAGCAACATGCGGTAGGGTGGCATGGATACATTTCGCCTGTTTTTAAAAATAAGGGCAGCTCTACTGGTTTTCCGCTGAAAGTTTTCTGTAAAGGACTCACAAACATACGGAAAGAACTAAACTGGTTAAAGTATCGCATGCAACCTGAGCGGTTAGGGTTTATGACATGCGTCCTTTAGAGAGAAACGGACAGGAAGTTGAGGATTTTGAAGGAGCGTCTTATAAAACGAGGTAAAGATGCCTGTATTTAGAGATCAAATACAGGTGAGTTCTAGTAGGATATTTACCTACTAAATGTCTACCAACCCTGACACATTATCTCTCCCAAAAGACCGAACCACGAGACCATACTTTTATATCTAATATACTGGGCAGCAGTTCTTTCCATTTTAATAAGATTTCTCAGCGTTGAAAGCAAGCCCAGACAGTAAAGTGGTTTGGACGATCGCATAATTCTTTCGTCAACAGAGCGACTGTTTTGATCGACTTCGCTTACTTGCGCTCCTAAAAAGCAACCTATGTTAAGCAGCAGACTTCGCGGAATTCAGCCATATTCACGTGGCTGAAAAGAAAAACTACCTGAAAATAGGTTCGCTTACACGGGCTTAATCCCAGGTACAAGCTTTGGGTGCGCCAGCATAAGGGATTGCGATGACACACGAGCTGATGGCCAGAAGTAGTCATTACAGTGCCCATAATATTTGCGTCAGCAAAATTTCTCGATCACTGATTGGTGGTCACTACGCCACCGGCTGGGATGGCTCTAGATCAGGAGGACCAAATCCAAGTCGACATTTAAATTTCTATTCTACAGACAAGACGGATCTGTTAACGCCAGGTACGTGCGACTCTGCATGCTGTCAACCTCAGTTGTCAGAGGACGAGTCCGGAAATTCCGGCTGATAGAATGCTTTACTTCAACTTCGCAGTGATTACCTGTGCCTGGATTCAAGGCTTCACTGAGCCAACATCCAAGGTTGGGGCAGTGGTGGGTGGTAACGGCTAACAGGTCAGAAAAAGTCATTGCGATGTCCTTAACCTTTGTTGTTAATACTTCTTGATGCCTACTTTGCTTCCTACCATAAGTATGGATATTGCAAATTCGTGACATTTGCTGCTCTAGGTAGATTGGTTATAAAATATGTATACTAACTTCCAAAACGGGTAAGAACATCAGCTAAATTATCACCAAAACCATCGTCGAAATTAAAGCCATTTTTGCAGTTAACCAAGAAAAACGCAGGTCCCTTGTTAGTCGAAAAGCTGCGGGACACAAATACTCCTGGTGGTTAGTTTATACACCAGACATTAACGAAAAGGTATTCCGTGTTGTGTAAGCTATCTCCCAGTGCTAACGGATTTTAAATTCTTAGCAGGTATGAACATCATAAGGGAATTCTTGAATGCAGGGCCAAACCTTGCCACGAATATCAGAATATTCTATCCGCAGCTCGGTGTTCTAGAGAATTAAAACGACACCTGTCAGCTGCCCGAAATCTGATTGTTTGTCAACCAGATTAGGTTCAGAAACGTTACGTTCGACAAGTCCTTCGAAAAAGTTATTTTGCTTAAAGGGCAGGAGTGCCGACAAAGAAAAGAACGACTGGGGTGGCTGTTTCTAGTTCATTAGTCGTCGCCAGTTAATCATTCTCAAACCTGATTCTCTATGGCCTGGGGCTCGAACTCGCGTTCTCTGGTAGGGAGTTGAATTTAAATAACGCACAATGACCAAGGAACGCGGGATTGAGGTTCAGTTGTTGCAAGCCTGAGTTTGAACGATGGCTAATAAGTCTGAAAAGGCTTCCCAGTCCCATTCTCTTTGTCGGTACCCCTCTCCCCTGCCACACAATTAAATGTTGCTGCAAGACTGCCTGCCTTTTCATTCCTTGTGGGCGATGGCGGGGCTGACTAATGAGCTTTTAGTGAGTTTTTAGGTGATGAGGAGGTGAGGGTTCAACCATTGCGAGAGACTTCAACCGTGTGGCCCACGGAGTGGGCGCGGCGCGGTGAGTTGCGCACGAAAGGGTTTTTAGAGAGGCAGACTCGTTCACATCTACTAGATTCTCTCCTCCCTAGCCCATAAAGAGTTGTAAGTGATAAACCCATTAGTTGGGCACAGTGGGCAGGCTATCAAGGAAACGAAGATAGCAGTATCCCAGCAGTTAACAACTAGTAGACAAGAACAAAGTTGCCAGCAGGTAAAAATGCACGTGCTCGTTCTATGTCTCATTCAAAGTTGTGTCAAGTTCTTTAAAAAGCGTATTGTAACTGACTAAAGCAAAACGGACTTAAAAGTCACTACAGACTGCAAGGTTGCATGGTTGTATGGTAACAACAAATGTTAACTTAGTGTGAAATGTAGTGCCAAGGGAAAAACTTAGGATTATTATGCAGACTGCTGGGCATAGGCTAGAAGTGCATTACTCAAATTCATAGCCAAGTAACTGCAGAATACGAGTATCTAGTCTGCAGTCAAGTGTTTCAAGTGTTTGAAAGCGTCGCCACAGCAAGAAGTCCGTTCCAGGCTCCAGCGACCCTCTGAGACAGGTCGTTCCGTCCGGCTAGCGTATGGGCCAACGCCCTCTGTAGATTAAAGAGATAACCACACAGACAGTCCGTCCCAGAAAACTCAACGAAGCCATTGAACTCTAGGGTACACTCACAACCTCTTACAATGCGGTGGGCTTGAATGACTTCACCGCCCAATTGCCTACAGCTTAAAGGAAACAAATAAAGTTCGCCCAGTCCGGCCTCTTGAAGCAGATGACCAAGATTTTTCACCGTATTCGCAGCCCTCACTTGCACTCTTTTCAGAAGCAGATAAACTGCCTTCAGCCTCGGACGCCAGACCTATTCGGGATATTCAAATTGAGACTGAAATAGTGTTCTTGATCAATTTGAACAAACGCTCGTTTCAGCGCGAATGGCACCTGTGTCGCGCGTTTAGCTGCCTTTGAGATCTGTAAAGGTGGTTTAGGCGAGGTGGTAACTATAACACCGAAATCCTTCTGTTCCTCAACGCCTGAAGGTGCTGTCCATCAAGGACGTAATGGAATCATCTATCTCACTGGTCCTTCGGGTACTGAGTCTGAAGATTAATAGTTCGACCATCAATTCCGACGATGTCCACCGTGTGCAACACAACAAGGCGCAGCAGACACTGTGACATGCGCATGAATTATTTTACAGGGAATGTAGACTTTCAGAGCATCCACCGCAATCTCTCTCCCCCACTCCACAGTTGGGCACAGTATCAGGCCAGAGTCAAGAAGACCAAAGATGAGGGAGGCCTCTGGTGGATGGCACGGTCGAGCCCGCACCTTGGCATTCCACTCCACACCCCCTGATACGCAACACACACTTAACCCGGATTTTAACCACCACCACCACCACCAACAACAACAACAACAACAACAAAAGAATGGAGGTTGGCACGGCCGAAGTCGCACCTAGGATTGCCGCCACACCCGACTCAGATCCCACACAGTGGGAGTGCCATAAAGGCCACATTAAGAAGGACCCACTTCAGCTTGACTCTTAGACCACCATCCGGCCACTCCACAACTGCAGCACACACACCACTGGGTCGACTGCGAACTCCAAGTTATTCTGTCAGTTGGCAACCTTCCAAGCCACGGCTTTTAGAGCATCGTGATAGCTTCAAGTGCGTCAGATTGGTTTTAGTGATGAAAATGCTCGGAGTCGTTGATTTCACTCTCCCTTCTCATTCCTGTGCCTCAGGCACTGTCCGAGCCGGTCAGTTGACTGATGCGAGGAATGGGCGCGGTGGCTGACATATCTAGTGACGTTGTCTGTGTGCGCCACATGCACGACCTGGCCCGCAAACACAATCACGATGATTTCACACAATGGGGGATTGAGCGGCGTACATCTCACATGCATGAGAATGCCGTAGGTCACGTTGAGAAGGGGTCGCTTCAGACTGGCTGTCAGGCAACCATTCCGCCACTGCACACAAACACAACTGGACGGACTGCGTGGACCGAGTTGGGGCGTCAGTCAGCAGCTTTCCAATACGCGGCGCTAGATGCACCGGGATAGTCTCAGGCTCGAGTCACCCATGCAACAGGAGCCGCACGGGGACCGAGTCGAGACGCACACTTCCTACTTGCCTGGGAGGTGGCATTAGGGTGCTTGTGGTGGGTGATGCTGATGTGCGGTGAGATGTTAGTGAGGGAGGATGTGATGTTGTGGTTTAGCTGGCGGTTGTCTACGGCTAGTTTTCGTGGACGCGCATGTGGCCGAATAGGCCAATGCGATGTATGAATGTGCGGGGGCAGTGTGGGCAGTGGAGGCGAATGCGGCGGATGTAGGTTGGTGCTCCAGACACTGGTTCGCCAGTCTTTGAGCGATGGATTCGCAAGTGACCGACCAAGCCGATGTTTGAGGTGAAGTTGCGGTCGCAATGAGGAAATGTGTAGACCAGGTCCTCACCACTGGTGTTGGCGGTAGTGGGGTTGATGTTTGTTGGTGTGCTGGGACTGAGTGCTGTGGCGGTGTGTGCAGGAGCCGTCGAAGCAGATGTTGAGGCAATGGAGAAGGATGGCAGTGGGGCTCAGGGCGCGGTCAGTGCTGGCTGTCGTCGTGGGGGGCGGGCAGAGGTGGTCGGGGGGACATCGGTTGGTGTCGTCCGAGAGCTGCAGTCGGTACGATTCCCAATGAGACCGGTTGGTGCCCGGTACGTCCGTTGACGTCGTGAGCAGTTAGGGGGTGGTTGATTGTTGATGTTGCGAGGCGGAGGAAGTAGAGATTTACGAGCTTCGGGTTTGGCTTTGGCGGCGGTGATACGGTTGACTTCGTAGATCGTTGTACCTGCCTTCACTGCTCTCCGTCATGTCGGTCGGTCGGAGGCGAGGTCTTCCCATTGAGTCTTAAGACCACACACTAACGTAAAAATTTATGAGCCAGCGAGCAGACCGGTTGCTAAGTCAACCAAGACTCTCTCTAACTGTGTTCCTACCTTCATCAGACCTGATGGCTACCCAGAGCCTAGCATCGCTCGCAAACGTGACGGCGCTGCAACTCAGATTGTTAACCGAGGACTGAACCCTGGGGGCACCACTTAAAACTGAGGCAGGGGATGACTACGAGAAGCCAACCCATACGTGCAATTCATTTCAGCAGCTTTCCTCCTATCCCAGTTTCGGATGGTTTGTAGGCTTAAAGTTTGTGTGGGACGTCGAGCGTCCTCTTGAAGTCAGCATAGACGTTAAGCCCGCCATCCTTATCTAGCGCATAATTTCACTGCTCAGTCAAGAGCAACAAATTGGAAAGGCAGGAGCTAGTATGGTTATCTCGTCTTCTGACCGTAGGCCCTATTTTGGCGCTCTGTCATCGTCGTGCTAGTGGATGAAATGTGATATGGCCAGGTAAGTTCTCCAGTCGATCAGCGACGTACGTCGACTATCTGCGCGACGTTGCAAACACGTGACTTGGGCGTGTGCGCTGGCAACGTGCAGATCACGTGACCACACGAGCGCGCTGGTCTGAAGTGCACGCGTCGGCTACGCCGCCGATCGATCGGCCCTGGCGGTCTTGGCTCTGGTCTAAGCGCGCGTAAATGCGCGTACGCAAACGGTCGGATCGGGCGGCATGCCAAAGGCAAAGCGCAAGTTGGCAAGACCGCATACACAGCGTTCCGGCCACCGTGGGTAGCGACGATAGTTTACATGGTCATTCCGCCAGAGTTAGGATGTCGAAGTGAACGTTCTCTTGCTGCGCTGGTCGTTGTCGCGCACAGAAAGCCTACCACGAGCACTGAATGTGCATCGACAGTGAGGATGTAAGGGAGAGGTTGGAAAGTGATAGTCGGAATGCCCGTCCTTGGCAGTCCTCTCGGGTTTGTTGCTACTTTGTTAGCGGATCGCCGCGTCTGGCGAACTTCTTCATGCGTTTATGAAGTCCTCCTTTTGATCCTGACTTATTTGAGCAAGGTGTCAACCGTATCCCTTCAACGTGATATGTACCCCCAAAAGCGAGCTGCCGCGGGAAATCGTAGGACAGTAGCTGAAGGATACATCTGTCCGACGTTCAACGATGCAACCACTGGTCGCTACGGGAGAACGTGCGTAGGCCCCTGAGTCGCAGTGTTTTTCTCCCATGACGGTGAGTCTTATGGAAGGCAGTCGTGCTGGCACTCCGTTGGCAGCCCAAAGACAGCTGCCCTTTAGAACACAGGAGTAACGAGAGCATGTCAGAGCTCACACCTACCTAATCACCAGCGGCAGCCTTTAACAATACTGAAAGTAGATGCCAAAAAGCGTCGTTCTACTTCGAGAGGGCGAGCCCTGACGGCACGGTAACAGTCCCCGAAACGCAGAGGAATGGACATGATCGCAGAGAAAACGCCTGCTTAGCCAGGAACGGCGACGATCCCTGTGGACAGACCTCATGGAAAGGAACCATAGGCACATTCCGAATTCGGGAAACACAAGGCCGACTATTTGGCCGTAGTTGGCGTTCAAAACCTTCGACAATCGTGTCCATTCGAGTTTTAAGTCGAGATGCCCTAGCTAGCACTCGTGTGCAGAAGGGACTCGCTCTCGAATAAAACTTGATGACGGCCCCCTGCTTAGGTAGACGGGACGCGCTAAAAAAGTAACCCGAGCAACAGGCATGATAGACTTCGAAGTATCCGATTTGAATGAATTTGAGTTTTTCTAAATTTAAACACTAATTTGTGGAACGTCACACTTTTGAGCACAATTTGTCGGTTCAAAAGACCTATTCAAAGGGCTATACAAATCATGCAGAATTGGTGCATTTGGTTAGACCGTGTGTAGGCTATCAGAGTACGCGAAGGACCGCCAAGCCTTGATAGACCAACGGGCTAGATCTTTTAATCGCCAGCAGAAGGGTGGCACTTGCCGTACGGTCCGAAGGCGAAAGCGGGAAAGAAGAGTTGGACAGTTTTCATACTTGGCAGCTAGCGCAGCGCTCCATGCCTGGCCACCGAAAGTCAAGTCAGAATGTGTTGGAACGACACAAATAGTAGCCACTGGAGTGAAAATGCGTCGCGGTAAAAGCAAAAACTACAATTGCCTTGATAACTCTCAACTGGGCCGGTTGACAGGTACTGACTGAATGGCATTTTAGTACAGTATTTAGTACCAATATGTGCTTACATAGGATTGTCCTCCACCATCGTTTAAATCTCTAAAATAAATCCTAACCAGAAAGATTGGTGACTATTTTTCTTAACTCGAATATCACGAAAGTCAAACCCCGTCACAGATATTTTTATTTACAAGTGGCCGTAGCGTAAACAAGCTGACAGTGGCCTGCACAAAACAGAGCGAGGGAAAAGGCAGAGATCTTTGTTAATTTTGGAGGAAAAAGAAATCAGACAGATCTGTAGCGTTTGCTCCTGAGCGCTGATTCGGACCAGAGGGGGGGGGGCGAAGTCATGCGGCCTCATGCCCTCAAAACATAAGCGTAATCGGATCTACACAAACGGCAACAGCGTAGGCGAGAAAGTAGAAAACAGCAAACCAATCTAGAAAGCGGGTAGCAAATTGAAGTAGTTGCTGTGAGCCGCGAGAGAAAACACACACACGCCTATTGGTGTGCAAAACGCTGCCGACGGTAAATCGGGTGCGCAGGGCCTCACCAAGCAGCGTTTGAGAAAGAGAAACAAAAGTACCATTCAGTCTGCAGTACGTATTGTCCGTAGTTTGAAAAGATGGGCTAGAGTCCATACAGATAAACATCCATCATGAAGGGGCGGATAGAAGTTGTGGCGGGACAGATAAAAGTAGTACTGAAAAAAAAGTTAGCATACGAAAATAAGTTGGCTGAATGTGTACAGGTTGAATTAAACAATGGGAACTTGGGTACAATGAGGAAGTGAGTGGAAGGCGGCTTAATTTGCCGGACGACTCGGCAATCCGGAGGGGAGGAGTCTATAATGAAAGTAAATAGGATGATGGAGGGATCTTAGAGACGTACAGAGAGAGAGAGCGCCAAAGGCACCGGTTTGAGCAAAGGCGGAGACGATGGACGAGGAAAGCCCGTCTGCCGATGACGTAGGTAGAATCAGGCTCGAGCGATGCCGTTTTGACTGCGTCCACTGGATGTTGATGAACAATTCCCCACAGTCCGACAGCGGTAGATATTGATCTTACCTTCCTTCACGGGCCTGTCATCATGGGTGGAGTATGTTCGTAGAACAGGCTGGTTCTGGTACGGACGCGAAGCCGGGTTGACATAACGGTAATGGATACTGGGATGACTGGGGAACTCTTCCTGAACCTCAGCCAGCAAGCCAAGCGTACCGTTGTTGGACGACGGCGGTTCGGCCTCAGTCCGCGGAAAGAACTCGACGGTTCTGTTCGGTTCAATGGAATCGGGCATTAGAAGAGGAACAGATGGGTGGGCGGCGTATTTCCGGGGAGATTGTGGCCGCTGCAACTTCTCGTGACCAGAAGCGTTGAAATGACGACTACAACTGTCACAGACTCCCATCAGTCGGCCCGCGTGCAAGCTGCTCCCGTCGTGGAAAGCCGGAAAGCGGAGACAAACGTCACAGAACAGTCGACCGCAATCTCTAGAACATAAACCAAAATCAATATTATAGTACTGGCTATCAGCCGCTTATCTGCATAAACATCAGCATAAGCCAAGTGACTGGCACGAATTCATGAAGGTTGAGGCAGTAATTCGGGCGGTTGCTCAGGGTTGCTAGGGAAGAGCTAATAGAGGAGGCTGGTTCTGTCAGCATGTCACACCCGCAGACAAACGCTAGCGAATTGGCACAGACCAAGTCGCATAGATCAAATGCCTAGGTTCCAGTCAAGCCGATGAGGCAACAAAGCCGAAAAACCAAAGGGGTCAGGTCAACATATTATCGCATTCCCAAAACGGTCAGCCTCCTCATCCTCCTCTGTACGAGGTGATGCCGCTGATGCACTACAAGTCATATTCTGCCTTGATTTTGCGGCCAGCTATTATCAAATAAACAGGTGTCGATTCTTCCTGTAGGAAGGCGTCGTCTGTTGCAGCATCAAAATATCCGAAGGCACGACAGGACGTTTGGAGGTTGGTAAGAACTATCTACACGTCCGCCTAGCCACTGCCAAAGCAGCGATATAATCGGTGGAGTTCGGGCTGACTAAAGCGAATAGGCGAAGCCCGTAGGATAGTGAGGTGGTTGTGATGCTTACCCGCATGGATGTGACGGTCTAGTGGCCCCAAACGGTAGGTGACAAGTCCCGCACTCTGGCAGCACTATGGTTGTTGACTCGACGGACGAAGGCAGACCAGGTCCAGCATCCTTCGCATCAACAACCTCAAAAGAGCTGACGTCTGAGGAGATGCTGTGACTACGAACAACGTCGCGGGTGGCTATTCGCAGCATTTGGCGCGCACTCATTGGGTGTAATCTGTAGTCATCCGTCAACTCTATGAGATCATCATCGGTCATCGCGTTCAAGCCGTCAGAAAAATCCATTGCATCCGAGAGCGCCTGTACAGAAAAAATGAAGTAAAAAATAGAGTAGTACATCAAAAGATGTTCAGTGGGAAGACTGGAATGTTCGCGGTTGCTCTCCCTCCCTCGCTAAACATGCATCATGTTCTGGAGTGGGCGGTTTATGTAAGACGCGTGCATAACATCTAGGGCACTGACTCCGAAACAGGAGCTCGGAGAGGGGGCATCGCAAAAATGATGTCGCATTCTCGCCCGTATATTTGGGGAAAAATACCAACTGACGGAACACTGTGAGTCGACTTTAGATGCAAAGACTTTCCTTTGAGGTTCTATCCAGCAGGGAGAGTACAACACGACCGTACAGGATTTGCGCGACTGAGGTTGGGATAATCTATCAGCAAAAATGACCTCGGGAGCAGAATTGACGAGAGGACACAATAACCAGTGGTGAGAACTACTGCTAACAGCGGTATCAAACATGGTCGGAGGGAAGCAGTAAAAACTGAAGAGACTATCAGGTTGGATTCATAGGTGCGCGTGCAGTTGCGTTTGTGGGCTTCTCTGTGTCCGATGTCGGGTCGCCATTGAGTGGCTTCCTTCGCTTCCAATTGGTTCTCGAGCAGGCCGCCTGCATGTGAGGGGGAGCGGAAAAGGCAAACAACGTTTGGACGGCGGTTTCTCGGTCTGTCAAGACGGGGCCATCTTCACCACCGAAAATAACCCGCGCGTGATTTCGATTAAATTGGATGATTTGGCACAACCGGCTTCAGTCACAAGGCTCCCAGACGCCTTCCTGGACGGACCTTTATAGCAACATGATCGAAGAAGCCATACAATATGGGTGAGTCGCATCACATGTCGTCAAAGAAAATAGCTGGACGCTACGAATTGACTATCCTTACGTATTGTTCGGCAAGGACAGAACACCAGGATGGGGGTGCCGGTGTCTGAAGAGACAGTTTGCCCGCAGGCCGGTGATCATCGCCATACTCGGCCGAATAATCAGCAGTTGGGGCCACGCTTCACGAGGTGCGAGAACTCGTAGATCATGCGGGCACGCGCGCTTATAAATAACAAACTAGTTCCATCAAGGCCAAAAAACCGCACGCAGGCAAATGCAATCCAGTACAAAGTTCTCAAATCCCTGCATCTGCTGAGTATGCAGGAGGTCGCTCCGACCTATACCTTTGTATGGCTCACTGCGACGCAGGTGGTGACGAGCTAACGGACTTTAATCCGTCAGACAGACAACAGTGAAACCTAGCGCCAGCCCTCTGTCACTTCCGGTCAACGGAACCCCACAACAGCGAGGGTTCTTCCAGTCATGAGACATCTGTAGCTCCAAAGTGAGGTACATACATGGCGTCCACTTATAAGAAGTACATTACTGCTGGACCCGCCCTCCATCGCCCTATCTTTTGTGGTCAAACTAAGTCGACAGGTAGGACCCGTATTCACATCCTGTTTCCGAAGAGAGTGAACACTTTAGAATACTGGCAACGGTACAAACAGTACCGACGAATGAGAAAACGTGCAGTTATTTGTTAAGGCAAATCTATCTAGGCTGGAAACACGGTACTCTGTTAGACAGGTTGCGACTAAAACGACGTGCATGTGTCCAAGCTTACGGCGGATCTTAAAAAAGGCTGAGTCGAGAATTCAAACCCTGAAGTGTGCTTTTGGGAGGAAGGCCACAGCGGTTGAACGGAAGGACAAGATGTAATATTAGGTCTCAGCGAGGTACTGTGAAAAGACTCTAAAACAGAGGTAGCATGGACACTAGTTAAGTTGACAGAAAACATTAGTATGGAGGTAATGCTTAATGCCGCAAATAACTACATAAAAATGCGAGCGACAAAGTAAAACCCACCTCTTCTAAAGAAAAAGACGGTTTGACGGAGTTAGGGTCGCCGTTGGGGCACGCTTTAGTCTCGCCCGAGGAAAAGGCAGGACCGCCTCCGCTGGCGCCACTAAAGTTGCCATCATGTCGGGCTTGAGACTCAAAAAGCCTCTGTAATCGCGCCACCTCTTGTCTTAGTGATGAAATGGCGTCCTTCGCAGTCTCTACTTCTGAAGCTAGCGTGTTGATAACAGACTGTTGTTGTAGATGTAATTGCTCTTCCTGGTAGTTCTTCTCGTGTAGGCGCAAAGTAACAGAGTCCACACGCATTGGCAAGCCATCAAGATCCGAGGGCCACACAGAGCACAATGGCTGAAAGTAGAAAACGAGGACGGGTGAGCATGCCGGTATTTTCTTCAACGTCTGTCGTCTTTCTGAGAACCGATGCAATATACGACGAAAGGACTTCACGCCATACGATATGCATCAATCTCTCTGTTGTGTCCATCATCCCCCGAAGAAAACAGAGAAGGGACGACGTCATGGGCCGAAATATATTTGGACTGACGTTTCGGAGACGCTCTCGTTTCCATCATCGGACGGATCGACCTTCGACTTTGGCGGATTTTATGTGAAAGCATATCTAAATATATGTCGCGGATTCCTGCGGACAATGGGCCTTTCTACTTCTGGTTCATGCTTGCTTAATTGGTCTGCCCAGTTGATTTTATACGTGGAACGGTATTGGCGGATGGCTGGGAAGCTGTTCAATCAGAGCAAGCGGTTATGTATCCTATTTCAAAAATCCTACTCGATATCTAAGGCGGTGCAGAAAGTTTATCTGGGAAAGTGAAGTGCTCACCGGATCATGGGGATTGCATTGCCTGACAATCTTACGTTTGCTAAAGGGTTTACGCTGTATAACCATGTGAGAAATGTTTATAAGAATGTGAAAGGATTTAAAAGGACTTAAAATATGGGTAGAATGACATTACCGATAAAGACAAGGGAGACTGGAGTAAACATTTTTGGCTTATTAGCCTTCATCAGTCAGTTATCCCCAACCCCGAAGTGCGTAACACCAGGAGCTGGATCCCGCGACATGCTCGTTCGAATTCTAACGCCCTAACCGCTGAGTCACGTGTTTCCACTTCGAGAATGTTCACTTTCCGCGGGGGTCCTGGAGCGCAGCCAACGCGATCGAGGAGAGAACACTGTATATTTATAGGTTTTCGGGAAACGTACACATTCATTAGATTGCGAATTGCGGGAGAGTGGGAGCCCGGATTGTGTTCCAAGGAAAATATGAACCACAAAGTTGGAATACATGCACACTTCCGAATTAGCCCGATTCTACAGTATGTGGCCTAAATCACGGAACGTAAGGACGGAAATTAAGGCGATCAATAGTGGGCAACTAAAATGTTGGGCATTTGACTTATTCGCCTAGCATGTTCCGTAAAATGTCCCTTTTGTGTGCTCAATGTGGTTATGAGTAATTTTGTCAGTCAGAAGGCTTACAAATTTGAGCCGAAATCTGCGTTACCTTATATTCCAGCGGTTTCCCGTGCTGATAGCTATCCTTGACTTAGTTTGCGCATTCGTACCTGTTTTATATGAGAGGAACGAGATCTCAACTCGAGTTTTGCCACATAGAACTTACGCACTTAAAAATGACTTTAAACAGCATGTAAACCAGATGAAGGAAAATGCGGGTCATTTTTAGAAAACCAGGCGTTGTATCAACTTTAAAACGTTATTTTGGAAAATCTGTGTGATTTCGTGCCCTAGAACGCAGTAATAACGCCTACTGGCAATCGTTTGCTCAAACGTTCTGATATTTTGCTGTCCCTTGCGAATACTCGATAACTTGCCATTCAGAAAATGGACATGTTAACTACTGAGCATACGTATAGTACTTTTTGTATGGTCCGGTTTCCGCTAATGCGTGACTTAGAAACGGAACGGGCAGATGATTAGCGATTTTCGCAATATCGTAGTATTTATATGGCCGCTTTGCTGTGCCTTTAAAATCCTAGAACGGAGCCTTAAAGTAGACAAAGCGGAAACGGCCCCAACAAAAAAGAAAAGTGAAATCTTTCATTCGCGGCAGAAAAATTATCATTAATTTGCAGAAAAGTGAAAAAGCTGATAAAGCATCCCAATTTTTATCTTGACAATCTTAGAAAAAAGTGAAGTACGCAGACATCTGTCGGTGACATACTTTATTAGAGCGCTTATTATTATTAAACCGCTTATTAAAGTAATTTGTGCGTTTTTTAATATACCTGAGGCACATTCACTGCTGACTCGTTGTGGAAGTTCATTTTTCTCGGCAATGAGGCTTTATGTTTGGGTGAGTATACGGCCATCTGCATTAGAATGAATGTCCAAGACCTCACTTCTACAGTAAACACTTCCAAGAAGCATCTCATTTTGAACGTTTCGATAAACACATGGGACAGAATCTAAATTTATGGCCAACGAAAGGAAAACGCCGAAAATCTTGAAGGATTCACCGCTGTTTTAAGAATGACCTAAAACTCGTCGTGCTCTAGCACCAGAAAGAACTATTAAGAAATTTGACGGAAAATTCTCTTAATATGAAATGGCCGTTCCAGTCTCCCTTGTCTTTGTCGGTAATGCCATTCTGCCTATATAATGCGCCGCTGTGCGGCTGCTGGTTGGACTCAAGAGTTCTTAGGCACAGTGGGGCGAGTGAGTTCCGTAAAAACGATCGGTGAGCGCTCGTCTACCACTTCTGAATATGTTTAGTCTGTAGAGGCAAAGACCACTGGCACTCGTCTGTCGAAAATATAGAGCCACTTTTCCAACTTGTAAAAAACTGGGATACTGGTAGCAGGAAGTTGTGGTTTTCACCATAGCAGTAACTGGCAGCGGACAGCGGGGGGTTTGTATAAGGTGGATTTGGTTTGAAAGCCTACAGCCTCATGGGCCCTGGTTGTCGTCAAAGCAGGCCATCAAAATCCAAGGGCTGAGAGCGCAAAAATTACGAGTGAATGAGTGCGAGTGTTTATGACAGCTCCTGCTCACAACTGGGAGGAATTTCTAGGCGCCGTCGAGTCAAGTCTTGCTCCAAAAGGGGTAAGAAATCACAAACACTATCAGAGGTCAAGTAAGGGAAGGCGGAAGATTCTACTTCGGATCTAGCGCTAGAACAGTGGTTTTGAGGTGTCATGGATTTTGCCTATATTGTATGGGCTTTAAATCACACTGTACAGCACAATAAAACGTGAGAAAGTTCAATTTAGTTCAACTACTACGGGCGCCATAACAACTTAGGAAGAGACGTGGCTGTAGTTCTGGGCAACATTCGCGAACTCGGGTTACAGAAAAATTGGAATGTGATCAGAAGGGAAGATAGACAAATAGAAAGGCAAGCACACCTCCTGGTTACAAAAACTTCGAGAAGTTGCCAGTTTCTGTCAGAAAATCGTAAGCGGCAATAAAAATCCTTTTGAGGAACCGTTTCGAACACGAGGCCTCAAGCACAAAAGGGTCCTCTGCATCTGGATTGCACCGAGTCAAGCCAAATTCGACGGAATTCGACGACTGTAATCGGTATTGTAGTCCAGATACTTATTTGTACGACTGATCTTCAATAAAGGTGGTCCACGGTAACCATATTCACTCCACCTTGTCATAAATGGCGTTCAGGTGTGGATAACTCTGTCCAGCCCTACGCACACTTTAGGACTAAGACAAAGTCTCCAGAATCGGATTTTAAAGGTCCACATTTAGCGAGGGAATGAAATTCATGTTGTGCAGGAGTTTTCATTCCCTCTGACACCAACACGAGTAAATCAATGAGGTATCGCTGTTTTTTCAGGCCTGGACGACGGTCAAAAAGGTATGTTGCCGACGTAGACGAAAGCCTTGTCAGTCGTCATTATGTCCACGTCCATCTCTAGCTGTCTCGACCTTTTCTTACTATCTTTACATGATTTGCGTGGGAAGAGTTAGGTGGATGCGTTGAGGGTTTCCATCACTACGATACAAACCACGTGCAAGGCATTATCGACCACCTAGACAGAGGAGGGCGTCGCCGAGTCTGACGGAAGAAATATCGACACTAACAAGTTGGTAACTTGGCGGATGAGTGAAGAGCCGAACAAAAACGGAGTTGACGAAATTGAAAAATGGTCAAAACGTACAACTTATTGTTGGCGCACTTGACGTCCATTCCAAAAACAATTGGCCCTGACGATTTTTATTAGCTGTACCATGTTTTCTACATGACCCAGTTACCACGGAGAGACCTGCTTACCCAGACTGAGCCTGATTGGTAACACAAAGCAAATAATCCGACTGACCTTGACGTCATGGGAATCAAATGCCGATCCATCGTTCAGGAAAAGATCCAAATTTTCGGGCGGGGAGCCAAAGCGCAAGGACGAAGAAGTTTTGAGCGGAAGCAAATAGCGTTTAGCACCCGATCCAGTCATTGTCTGACTGCGCGGAATAAATCCAGGGTGAAAGTCAGAGTCGAGTCTCCCGTCGGATAGAAAGAAGTGGGGGAATTCGGAGGAAAGGGTCACTTCCTCTCTCTCTCCAGAAGGATCAGAAGTGAAGTTGGCCGTCTCCTGGGGTGAGGAAACGTGATCAGAACAGGAGGGAGCCCGAATTGGGTTGTCCAAGCTGAGGTACGAGGCGCTAAATGTTGGCTGTACGAAGTACCTCATGTTGTCTGCCAACTATAAGAAAGGCAAAATGGAGAGGAAAGACTCTGTTAGGAGTAGGTCCTCAGTGAGTGGTGTCGGTAGACAGCCCTCAGAAGTATGCTGAGCAAGGGTTAAGTAAACTTAATGGAAATTTTGTACGAATAAGAATCCAGAACATGTCCCAATCAGTGCTCCCTAGCAGCGCTTGTGGTACAGCCACGTAGTGAGCCGACCATAAGCTGGATTCATTGGCAACATCGACTCATCGGTTTGATGTGACTGGTATCGCGCTCGCGGGGGCAGTTTGACAAATCAGCACCAGAACTACCGGCCTGGCACGAAGAGCGATAATTTGGGCTAGCATAAAATCAAACCTCCGAAGTCTGATGGAGCACCTAGGAAAAGCGAACCAAGAGTTTTACGGGCGGGGTGGAAGAAGGCGGAGAATAGGAAGTGGTTACATGCCGTCTAGAAATGTTAGGTTGATAGGTAAGGGCGCGTTCTTGCCTCGACGCAGACGGCGGCCAAACCTCTCTCCCTCTCATCAAGGCTAGGCAGTTGGGCTGATGTATCAATGCTTGTCAATTAAAACACTGTTTGGTCATCGGTGAAAATGGCGAGGGCCGTGTTGGACAAATGGGTGGGTCTGGTAGTCTTCGGTGCACGGTGTCTGCATGCTGGCAAGATGAGGATCAATTAAGGCTTTGTCTTCGACCGCACAAAGCATATCGAAAATTAACAGACGAAACTCTCTGCTTTGTACTTGTTAGTCAGCAAAAGTAAGCATTAAAATGATGGATCACCTTGATGTTGCCTTTCGCGACAGTAAGTCATACCTGACCAGAACGATTGAAACCCCGGGAAGACGAGGTCCGCCTGTTAACTGGGCTGCAAGCTACCCCATGCGTCCATGGGTGGTGGATAGTGGAACGGTCCCCAGTGAGGATTAGCTACGAGACAGGCTGGGTACCGATTTGACAAATCGGTCAGCTACGAAAAGGTCACAAGTCATAACGACATTACGGCACAGCGAATAATCCGTTACCCAGTAAAAATTCAATCATCGTTCTGCATAAGCTGGGAACCTTAAAATAGTGTCAGAAGGATCCATCCCCCTCCAGCATCCAGCCTAAAATCCAGGACCACAGGACACCATTCCCACACCAAACCGCCTTACGTAACGACCTAATCGCGTTTTTGGACGGCCAGAGGGCTGATCCGCGCGCTCTGCGTGGACTTGCTAAGAGCAAATTGAGCCAATACAAATAATTTTCTGCTGAACAACGGCCCTTCTTGTTTGATGGATCATGTCCATCACATGTCTGAAGGACGCTTGCTAAGCAGAGGACAACAGTGGATGGAAACGGAAGGTCTGAGGGCGGGAAGTTATGTCTATCTGATGTGGAAGGATGGGGGTGAAAAGATGTTGGTGGGAAATGGTGACATGTTATCCCGAACTGTGGATTACAGCTTGGAGACAGGTCAAGAGTCTGACTTTGATGGCAAACAGAATATAGTGCGGTCAGCAAAAAAGGACAGACAGAGAACTATTTGGTGTCTCGGGCTTTTAATAAGGTCTGTAGACCAACATACGCGTTTTCTGTCGCCCACCAACCGTTGCATTTCACCGAATGATTGTGTGACCTCATTTTTAACGAAGGATCACTCAAGATTATTTAGGTTACTACCAGTAGGTGCAGACCATGCTTCCAGGAAAAGAGAGTAGGTCAGTAGGCCAGGATACATCTGGTAAGATTCCAAAGACGAGACGTCTCTGGTCGCACATCTGACTGCCTATACTCACTATTACAGAGGACCTAAGTTAAATTGACAACTTAGAAGGGCTGATGGACAGTTCACTTTCAAGACTTACCGTAGTCTCCGTAGAGGGTCGGTCGTCCGTAAGCCGTAAAGTCGATTTTTCGCCTTTTACGAGAGTCAAATCACTGGCGCCCACGGATGCAGACCCAACAAGTGTCTTGGCAGGTTTCACGGCTCTCTGGCTCACAAGGGAGTCGCTCGACGTGCTGGAGCTGTCAGGCCATATGGAAGTGGTTTCGGACGGAGGGCTTTCAGTTCTCCATTTCGGCCCATCAGTTACTTCGGCTGACTGCAAGAAAGTCTGGTTATGGTCAGCGACCGGCACCGGTAGGCTATCCACGAGAAGCATGTCATCGCCAACGAAGCTCTGAAATGTGCGACAGACACGTTCATAAATAAGCCATAAGACAAGAGCTAGAGGGGAGAGAGGGAGAGAGAGTAAAGCAGACATGCGCTTCCAAAGCACTAGCTGAACGCTGAAAGTTGCTTAAGAAGTAACTTGGGTCTTGGTGCCTCTTTGAGATAGCGCCGCAGGTTGTTGCCTCTCTGGCTTTTATAGCTTACGCAGAAATGACCGAAGATCTCAAAATACAATAATATTTTCGCTTTTCCTCGGGCTCCAAGCGGACACAATTTACTTTAATAACGATGACTGGAGTGTATGTATAAGCAGGTTGTGGCGGCACTGAAAAGGCCTGTAATATGAGTTTTTAAAAACAGTAGGTTGGCAATTGCTTTTGATATAGGATACTCCCTAACATATAGGCCACGATACTTCAACTAGATTCGCAGGGCTGGACAGATTAAGTCCTTGGTAATCTCAAACATAAACTATTAACAAAGCCGGAGTGACCCAAACATGCAGTTCACGCAGTGTTATTGACGTCCAGGGATAGCAATAATTCCCCTTTTAGGTAATAATTGGCGTCACGAAGACTAAAAATTTCGGACCGAGGAGTATTCCTATGTTAACGATTGAAACAAAACGTAAGTTGGTAGATAGCAGACCTCTACTGTCTGGTGAGACAGGCGGAGGAATTACGAGCGAGAGAAAAAAGTGGACTGTAAGCCGAGGTATGCGGGGAATGAGGTGCAGATTTCAAACGCCAAGTCAAGAAGACCCGTTGGACATCTAAACGCTGGTACAGGGAAAAGGTTTTAGATCTACTCAAATGAATGAATAAGTTACCAAATTAAAGAGCGGTGGTGTAAAGAACGAACTTCTGCTATTCTGCCTGCTTGTGGTTTTTCTTTTCGTCATCAGTACAGTTACCCAGGTAGATGTGCTCAAATCCATATCTAGTTGGCCATCAGAACTTTACTCACCCTCAGAGTGACAATGACCGGAGAAACTCTGGTTACAGCTGCATGCCATGTGATACAAAAGAACTGAGTTTGGACCTTCGCATGTCGGGAATAAGTTCAAGGACTTGACATGTGAAGGCCGGTCATTACTTAAGTGACCAGAGGGGGATGACAGGTTCCATGAGGCAATTACTGTAAGCCAGCAAAAATCTTCTGGTCTTCTGGATGCATTGACAGTCCGCCTTCTCGGACCTAACATAACATCCAAATGTCGTTTCTGCAGCGATCTGACCCATCAGCTATGAAACGGCTACTCTAGCTACCAGATTAACGGAATCGGCTACGATGTTGGAGTAGTGTAGATGTCCAACATTATCCGCAAAAGGCCTTATCAGGCGGTTGGTCGGGCCAATTTCGGTCAAGAGCCTTCAATTTTTTTCTTAAATTAAAATCGAGGTTACCAACGCAGCAGGATTAAAATAAGATGATCCAATTTCCTGGCCTCTCAGCTGTCGAATTGTAGAAACACGAAAAATCGTAAAAGATAAAACCTGATATGGTACTTAGTCGATGGGGTGATGCTAAACGGCGCCTCACCATTACTAGGACAATGTGAGGTTGATGGTGAGGTCCAACTGCTCGCATAAATTTGGTTCCCGCCTCCAAATTAGCGCTGTAGGAAAAATTAAAGATATTTGGATAAATGCGTTCACTAGGACAAAATCAATTTCAAGGACGATTAAGAACTCGTAAATGCCCTGGTCGTCCTAGTAACGGCAATCAAAAGTTCGCACAGTAGAGGCGTAAACAGAATCTAGCAGGCAGGCAACTACTATGACGCGATACTTCGCAACAAATAAGCCACCAGGCGCACCCAAAGGCTCTGTGACAGACATGTCAACACATGTGACGTCAGGGCTTTCGCATATTTTTGCAAATGACCGAAGAGTTTGTGTGGGTGGATGAGGTCACGGAACCTGATGATATCATTGTATTGTTTCCTTTGCAACATTGGTTTTGTTCAAATTTTCTCAGGGCAGAGATCTTTCCAACTTACCTTTCGGGGCATACTATTCTAGATCCTCAATTTCATTCAATGTTAGTGCCAAGTATCAGGAGCACAAACGTACCATGAGTGACAGCCTTAGTTCAAGCGTTCATTGTCGAACTCCGGACGAAAGACCATGATGGCAAGGATGGCGGTGGCCCTGGTCGTGGATGTGGATATGGAGTGGAATTTGGCGGCAATGAGAAATGACTGCAGAAAACTTCAGAACTGCCACCGGATGACTCATCGGATAATTTCGAAATTATGCAGGGACGGTAACGATATAATGCTCGCGGCTTGCACTGTCAATGATACCATCGCTGTTAGTTTTACCTGCGCTGGTATCTTATCTGGTATCGACCAGTCTGGGTTCTCACATAGTTTTTAAAACTTTCCAGGGCATGAATGATTGCTGACGGCTAATAAACCAGAAACAGTCATTTTAATCTTCCTATGCTTTATCGATAACACTTCTTGGCGTTGTACTTGTTACAGCTACCAATAATGCCGGGTTAACCGACTTCTTAATAGGCTGTACTACAGACATGAGCATCCATATGTCGTGAAGACAGCAATTCTAGAAGCACAGCTATTTGTCCGTCAAACTAGTTGCAGATGTGGTAAACCTCTCAGGGTGGAGGTCTTTACCGCTTATGAGAGCAATGGGAGTGAGGGTAGAGCAAGCTGGGAATATAAAGGCTAGTGTTGACAACTTGTGGGTCAGGCCGCTGCTCCACCCATTACGCATAATTAAGTTAAGACACATTGGACGGCGATGCTTACAATTTTGTCGAAATTACTGGGCGATAACGGAGTTGTTTCCGAGACGCGACTTTTCGGGCTCAATGCCTTCGCATAGCTGCCCACGTGACCCGTCTTGCCCGGCTTAAGGGCGTTTATATCATTTGTTTTCCTCTGCACTCACCGGATGGATAAATTCTCCCCTATAGCAAACGGACCCTTGTTAGGAAACCAGGCCTGGCCATAGCCTACCTTCGTGATTCTCTTTGCTCGAACATCTTTGGGGGCTCGGAAATGGATAAAAACGGGCGCATTGACCTCGAATTCATGAATTGGCTGTGCAATCGTGGAACTAACATATCCCGATTTTTTTTAGAATGGTAATATGACGCTTAGTCTTCATAGTCTTCTGGTAAGTTCACTTTCCGACCCATGCAACGGTACCAAGTAATTGTGCGCCCTCTGGGCCTTCCTGGACAACGTCAGGGGGATGACTCGTTGGTCACTGACAGAAGCCCGCAGGTCTCTCTGTTCTACGACTCACTTCGTCGAATATCGTGCGTTCTGGTAAAATTGCATACGTGGATTGCTTAAATCCCGCTTTGGTATATTTTTGTTGGCCACCAAACCCGGGTTTCCAATCTAATCTTTCACTTCGAACTTAAGAAGCACAGTTCGTCGGTCTTAGCTGAATTTGTGATCTGATTAGATATAAGCTGAGTGATACTGCCACCGTTGCTCGGAAGAGCAGTGTCAAGAGAAATAAAGGGAGGTCAGCTTGGCAGCCGTTAAGAGAAACAGTTTCGTCATCAGCTGAACGATCTATGGCGCTCTAGGATTTCATCTACAGGACTCGACCCAATGACTTTCCCAAGATACATAAAAGAAGGCTCTCTCCCTCCGGCCCATCGAACTACTCAAAGAAACTAACTTGCGGACTGGTAATGGTGCTTTTGGCGTCTTGCATTTCTGATTAGTGATTAGGAAACCACAGTCGGCTAGCAAATACAATTATTTAATAAACTCAGAAGTTTCCTGTGGAACGACTCCATTGGATATTGATGCAACGCCCCTTTTTGCTTCTATCCCCTGAAGCGTGTAAATCCTCCAATATTTCAGTATCTGTCGTAAAATGCACTCCATATCTAATAGAATAGTGCACGGGCAGGTAAAAGGCCGACCAGCGGGTTCACTAGCTTCTGTACTCAACAGAGGCCGTGTGCCAGCGGCCAGAGTCGTTGGCCTCTCAACATAACAGATTGAAACTCTGCTCTCGGTATGTGGGTAGTAACCCTGCCATCGAACGGAATTGGGTGCCGACTACTCCAAAAACGTCTCAACGGCGTCCTCTGGAAATACAACTCATGACTGAGGGCGGACCAAAGTGCCTTTTTATGCCCCCGTCTGTCGCAAAGATTAGGCCTAAGAACTAGTGTTCAGGAAGGCGACAAACAGGATGCAAGTATCGAACTTAGGTAGCGGTCGATGGTTCGAGCGTTAGAAGCGATAGAGCTCACGATTACTCCGCGAGGATGAAACGGTAGTCATTTATATCTGAAGTTATCTGGTGAGGCAGACCTGCGCTGACTTTACGTCACTTTCCCTTCCCACACTTGGCGCCCTACAACGGTAAGCAGTCAGGACGATTGGAAGTGGACGGGGACGCAGTGACTGGCGAAGTTAAACAGACAGCAACGCGTGCCACACACGACCTTGGTTAACGAGTGTTATAAAGGCCACGTCAAGGAGCCATTGCAATCTGACCTTCAGTCCTGAGAGATTTAGTTGTCCCGTTAGTCGGCAGTCTTCCAAGCCACTGCTGTTGGCGCGTCACGATAGTTTAAAAGCAAATCTGGTCGTTTGTGGTGAGGAAGCGCTGGATCGACTTTACTCTCCTTACACTCTCATACACCAAAGACTTGTCCGGGTTAAGTCGACTAGACGTGAGACTGAGCGTAGCCTCCATATACGTCGTGGCACGCACCAACGATTACAACAGTTCACCAGCTAGGGCCGAAGTCGACAAACACTATAATAGTGTTCATGTGCGTATACGACCAGAAAGGTCCATGCTCGTGTGGGAACGGTGAATTTGACTGGCGGGTGGAATGTTAGCAATTACAGTAGTGTATGCGCATATGATCGAACGAGCCCGTGCGGTGGCTGGACGTGCGGATGTAGTGGACGAGAAAGGCATTAGTGACGAGTGTTGGCCGGGGTGCTGGCGATCGTTTAGTCACAAACAGTAACAAAAGCGCGCTCTATCCGCGAGTCGAAGCTCACTGCAGGAAACCGAAAGACAAGATCAACTGGTGCGCAAAAATAAGAGACACCAAACCGCATAGGATACAAATTTAAGCGAGCGTCGCCGCCTGCTTCGGTGTTAGTAGACTTTTCAAGTCACTCGTGGTGAGGATTGCACACAGACTAGAGGCAATCACCAGGCGCCAAATGACAAAACCCAAAGACGCATTGCCACGACAAGAAACGTCTGCAGTCCTTTACCAGGCCTGGTGCAGTTGAAGACGGAGCAACTGTATAGCAGATGGCCGAGAAATGATGAGGGATAGTGCCAACTTTCAATTAGTGATTCACTTGACAGGAACCCGACCACACGCTGAAGTTTGTGGTCGGGATCATTCCAAATGCTACTAATTCCGTGAGTTGCGAGTTGCCGGAGTCATTATCGCAGGTCCACCGTTTATCGACGAACGCAATAGACTCCTCTCTCCCCATTCGGTTTTAAAAGTTTGCTTGGGCAAAGTAATTAGTCGCGTGGAGGGTGTGCAGGAGAACAGTCTCTAGCGACAGCACTAGTAATGGAAATTACCAGTCACCAACACAGGCGATGTAATCACGGCCTTTAACGACTCAGAATTCTCCAACCAAGTAATAATGGCACCAAATGCAAACGCACGTGATGGATGCAGAAACTTAATTTTAGGCATTGTGACGTATTAATGGAATTCTAAAGATATTGCACCCCTGCGTACCCGCTAGCTTTATGCAACGTTGTCTTTCATGGCGGTTTTGAGAGCATATTAAACAAAGTCGCTTCGGCGACAGAGTCTCTTTAACTGCTTTCTAGAACTCTTATCGCTTGCACTGGCAGTCACAACCGTGATCCGGTAAGAGTACGTTGGACTTACCGAGAGTCGAATCTTTCTGTAAGCTGATGGCGGGTCACTTGCGCTCCGGCTATGGGTACATTTCTGGGAGGAAAGATCTTGGTCTGAGAGATATGTGCGGATGCCACCGGCGAAGACGGAACTTGAAATGTTTCCACGTGAAGAACTTGGATGAGCGGGCGGGAAGTTGTTTACAGGTAGCAGCTCCACTGGTGAAGAGCACAAGATCTCGGTTTCTGTGTCGGGGTTATAATGTCGCGCCTCTGGTCCAAAACGAAAAGACAGATTCGAAGCTGAGCTTGAGAGTTGTTTTCTCTTGTCAAAAGGACGTCCCACCTTTGCCGTATCCGGAAGAGACGTGAGCGAAGAGGAAAGAGTTGTCTTCTTACCACCACGAATATCACCAGAATCTACTTTGTCCAACTTTCTTTTATCCTCCGTTGGGTTTAGCGCCGTGGACGCAAGAAATCTGGCGTGTAGAGTGGCTTCAATGTCATCCGAGGCTACATTTGACCGTACTTTTAAGGAACCGGTTGATAGGGCCATCAGCGATTTTGACCGTGGCAGTTTGTTAGACGATGCTGATTCCTCAAAGAGAGTATTTATGCTGGAACCTGACTGGACAACAGGCCTTCCACCCGTTGGCGGGCCACTGGAGGCCGTTGCTAGGGGGGTAACTTCCAATGGCTGCGATACTGGAAGGGAGACAGTACTATCAGGTAGGAAATCGTTTGGAATGGCAGACTGTTTGCTGAGTTCTCGGTGCTCCGAGGTCGCGGTAGTGGCAGCCGGTGGGTTGAAAACAGTGCAAGGCAGAAGGGCAGTTTGGTATAGTGAATCCCATAAATCGAGGCTACGCACCTGCCAAGCGGGCTTGATAACCTGTAACGCAAAAAATGTGTTATGTGTAAAAAAAAGTACGATATAACGATGGGTCAAGGGAAATACTACCATTTTGCATAAATAGTAAAGCAGGAATAAACTTTAGGCGCGTAGAGATTGCGAATTTACCTCTTGTTTTGGTTCGTACAGATAGTTTCGAAGGGACCAATTACGCGTTGGATTCAAAAACGCCCACAAAGAACATGTCTGTTGGGAACACTGGGCTGCATGTCTATCCCGTTCCGAGTTAAAGAGGAAAGTCCCAAAAAGACCGGAGTAGGTATGCATCGCCAACTTTATCTGATGAGATAAAGGACAAAGGTTAGAAGCCTGGGGGCAAATGGTGAAAAATAAACTGCCCAAATAGGTTAGTCGAAACCCACCAGAAACAATTCGTTGAACTCGAAGTATGCGGGAAACTGGTGATGGACCTGGCGAACACAGTCAAGCCACTGGAGGAAAATTGGGCTGCGCTCTTCTGGACCACTTGATGGATTGTGACCACAACGATCGCCAAACTTGTGACCAAATTGTAACCATTCGTGTTCAACAAGAATACGAAATCCCTATAATTGATGAAGCAGAACGTAGCAAAGCAATAAAACCTAAATGATGACAGAGTATAAATGTGCACTAGGCAGGATGCCATGGTCTTAGTTGACTAGGCGGCAGGGAATAACTTGGCGGTATTATGAACATGCGTAATAAAATTGAAGGGTTGATGCAAGGGGCAGGCCTGTCAAATGCAATCCCTCCACGGAAAACGCCTTCTTTCACAGAGTTGCAACTTGCTACTTGAAAATCAGTTTTTCAAAGGTGCATACACACACAAAATGTGGGCCAATGAGTGGTTGGATGATAACTCGTGATTAATATCCCAAAAAAGCTTCACAATGGACCACATAAAATTTGGCCATCCGCGGGTGATCAGATGTCCCAGTGCTCTAAAGATCTTAATGCAGTCGCATGTGGCCAGTTGTCGAGGCAACCCCAAGGCCAACGTGCCACTGTTGGCGATTGCCTACAGTATTAGTTAATAGTAGCACCTTCGCCACCGTCAAATACGGCAAACGAGTGGACTGAGAAGTGAATTATGGTCTTCCCCTGGGTACAATCCAGATTTAAAGCTGTCTGTAGCCATTTCAGTTTTAATGTGACGGAGTACTGTGGTGGTATATGACGTATTGAGGCGGGTCACGGTTGTCTTGATAGCATAACTTGGTGTTAGAAACCAAATGTATACTTTGAAGGTCATCACAACGGAAAGGGTTTGAATTACCTGGATGGTACGGTAAAATGGATCCAAAAGGATCTTGGCAAGTGACGTCAGCTGCGGAGTGCGATCCCAACCATCCGTGCAATGGACCATGACCGGACGGCAGTGAGCGTCAAGGGCAGCAGCAACTTCTGAGGCCGACTTTATAAGTTGACTGATGTAATACAACCACAAAGTTTTCTCCAAGGCAGAATACCAACTGAAGAGGAAAATCTTGTGTCAAGCCAGCAGACATTAAGCTCCTTTGTAAACATTACAACTTCAAGATAAGCAAAGGAGTTACCCCCAACGTCAGTGCACTATTACGAGAGGTTTGCACTGAGGAAAATATCTTTACCTTGGATGCAACTCATTTCTAATTTAGTTGCAGCGGATGGTACGCAGACGCCATCAAATGGACTTCAGCTCCAGAATGAATAATGGTAAGAGCAACTAGGAGCAAAGCACTCATGCCTACCCTTGAGGATGCCAGAGGAAATTATCGGTTCTTTTATTTGCTGGACAGCAAACAAGCCTAACGTATCAGGTTTGGTAAAAACGTTTTTATTAATTGCAAGAAAAGACTGATACTTACTTTGTCTCCGGTTTGCTCTCGTAGAGCTGGGTGAGACGTTCGAAGCTAAGGCGAACGGAGTGTAAGTTCGGAAGATCCATGAATTTGATCTGCGACTGCTCATAGTATTCAACGTACTCAAATCCACCACCGCGCAGACGGTTCAACTGAGCTGCACTGTAATTTCTAGCGTCGATTATAAGAAGCCTTGGTGGATCTATAAAAATAAAAGATATTTATATGTACATGAATACGCAGAAAAATTTGCAGAGAAATAAGTCTGAATGCAATTAGACTAATTTTGTTTAGTATAGGGGTCAGTCTACCTTCACCACGATTCTTCAATCTGTGGTCATTTCTACAGTTTGAAAGCACTGATTTTACGAAAAGTTCGTCCAATTCGTTCCTGGAATACATAATACCAACACATGGTTGTGCGCAGCGCAAAAGCACGGCGCCCGTTTTTCTCGATCTCCACACAACAGAGGGGAATCGGTTGTGGCTCCGGAATGTTGCCATGGAAGGTATGTCATTGTCTTTGATATCACGCGGCATAATGTGGTATCTGGGATAGCTGCGACAAATGCTTAAAGGAGAAGTTGGCCATGAATGCGAATGAGTACCCAAATTCACTGTTGACATCAGTAACTTTCCAATCCTTGCTAAACTCTAGCCGTTCAAACTCGTAAAGGACAAGAGCCACATCCAAGGCGTTGTCTGAATCTGGAGCCACTGAGTACTTCAAATAAGTATACCTTGGAGCTGTAAATGTTCCTTGACGGGTAATAGGAAGGGGTGCGACTGTCCCAGATCTTGTAGTGCCCTTCGGTAAGAGGCAGCGAATGCGAGCGGCAACTCTTTTGGAAACTCCATCAAGGAGGACAGCAGAGCAGCCCAACGCTCACAGAGGCACACGTTTTTAAAGGAACATCTAGGAAGTTTGTCATTGATGTTTTTACTTACGTGAACGTGGTCCCTATTTTCGTAGTGAGGTTGAGGTGAACCAGAGAGGCTTCCGCCCTTCGGATCAAATGAATTGGTATGCTAATTGTATGTGACTGATGCTTCGAATAAAAGAGGACACGGAAACTAGTTAGACATATGTTCCCGCTGACGGTTTTATCTAATCGTCGAACCTTCTCAGAGGGCAGAAACGGTATGAGCTCCAACCAACTGGCTCCGTGTCCACGATCATTAGAAGATACTTCTTGAATCATGCCGAACAGTGGATAAAATCACAAGTTTTAATATATGAATAACAACGCGCTGCGTAGTGATGCCCTCCAGTTCTACGCAAAGCCTAACGGTAGGAAACTCCCGCGGATAATGTCACCACCCACCGAATTCTAATTCGCCTCACCAAAATGAAGCTGGTCCATTAATATTAGAACAAACAAACAAATTTCAGCGGAAACTCTTTACATTTAAGGAAGGTCTGAGCTAGGTTTTTCATGGATTATTTTCGATTTATTTTATTAAATGTTGTTCCCCTGAGGCCAATCTCGAATGTAACAGCTCTGGTATACGGTTCAGCAGAAAATGAGCATTTTCGATTATCCCAGCACAGTAATAGGCGTCCTATCCAAGCATGTAATTTTATTCCAAAGTCTTAATCCAATTTTAAACTATGGATGGAACTTCGAATCCAGTCGTCAAAACGAAATTCCTAGGTCGTGCCCCAATTACATGCAAGCATTCTGACTGAGAACTATCAACCTTAGAAAAAGAACCGCGCAGCGTTAATACCCATAACTTTAATAAAGTGATGGTCGTCATAGTACTAACAACAATAATATTTGTTTTGAATCGTGTAAATGCTATTGTTAGCAAGCTAGACTACTACTACTGCTACTAGACCGTCACAAACGACGACGTCCACACTGTGTCCACTGGAACGAGAGTCGGATTATGTCTTGAGCGTGAATTATTTTGTGGTGACAGAAAGATCTGTACGCGCGTTCTTCTCTCCCTCCTTACCCATCTATGCAACTCCCATAGTACAACTATCTTAAGACTGTCAGCGGTAGGGTCGAGGCCATACATGTTGAATGCAACTCGTGGTTCCTCAAAAACACAGAGTACTTGGACGATTTTCACTAAGGTTCAAGAGAGTGCAGGCGACTTAACAGACGAAGGCAACAAATATGCACACCAGTTCTGTGTCAGACGTTGCTGGCGCTGTTACTAAGTTTGTACACGAGCCTGAACTTTGTCTGGCTGAGGCGAGCCAGCTAAGTGAGAAATATCGTCCGGCGTCGCGGTATCCGCAAGCCGAAGACTGAACCGAACACGCAAGCAGTGGTTAATAGGCGTGCTAGGACGAAAGACAACGTGGATAAACGGCCGCGCCTGCAACCACGGGAACAGATGGATACAGCACCTCGGTCCAGGCCGAAGGCCAGCGTAGGAACGATTTCGAGGGATAAATGTGATAGGAAAACAGGTGGGTGATAAGGCGGTGAGATAATTACAGTGAACTACCACAACGAGTTGCACGAATGCCAGTGGCATCAGGAGGTTTAAAAAAGGTGAAGCTGGGGGATTCAGGATAGATTTAGGAGAGCGTAGGAGAGATGAACAGATAGAGGTCAGCACACTTCGTCTTTGGCGCAGGTCTGGCGATTCCACTGGGACAGCAGCCTTGACCCGTTCAACTCCGACCGCATCCTTCTTGTCCCCATGAGTGATCCGGCAGATCTTGATACTACAGACAATACGATGAATGGCACTTAGTATAACAGCAGCTTCCTGCGCAACTGATAACAGGGAAAAACACGCAGACTCGGAGTGTTGCGACACTGGCATCATACCAAACTGACCACTCATTAAATCTTTTTTACCTTAAAGTTGGGCGTACGTCGCCAAAAGTTAATGACCACTTGCCAATGCGACACACGGTATGCTTTGCCCTAAGTTATTACTGCTAATCTTTAAGGAAGTGATCAAGTTCAAGGGTGTATTGTCCAACACATGCAGGTCTAATTCTTATCCGTGGGACAAAATTTAATCAAAAGTGATATTCTGTGCACTTTTTAAATATTATTTATACTGTGGCGACTTATTCAGAATCAAGATACGGCCAGCTGTAACGCAACAGTATATAAAATAGGATTTGGAAATGCTTTGTTTATTGCACTTAAAACGGAATTGAATAGGTTTATTTTAGAACCTCTCGGACGACGTCAGTCCACGAAAGTCAATCAGTCGCGTCGTGATTTACCGACCGCAGGAAATAAATTTATGCAAGGAATTACATCCAGTAAATCAGTGTAGTTTTGTCAAAGTAGAGGACTACTGCCCATTATCCTGACGTGTAAAGACGGGTAACGCATGAGACAATAAACAGTTATCGGTTCACGAAACGTCTCTACTTCAGATTTAACCTTTGTGGCTCGAGGAAAGACCTACTAACAGGTTCAATGCTTGGAAACAGCCGATTAACAATAAGACGAGTTCTGAGGACCTCCCTTGCATTCGTAAGGTGTACAAGAGTGAGGGATTACTTTGCGATAGTACTTTGAGATAGTACTTGATATGCCGTAATGTGCCTTCAAAGGCACTCACAAAACAAACCGGTCAAGTAGGCGGCCCGGGTGTGAAGGTTAAAATAGATGAAACAATTGTAAGCCGCCGCAATTACAACGCTGGCCGGATGAGAAGTCAGTTCTGCCTGCTTAGAATGCATGAGGCCAAAAAAATATGTAAGGGAGGCCCTATGTCCGGTTGAGCGGTGTGAGCGCACGTGGACGAAGTGCAATACCGCTGTGGTCTGGACCGCACAATACAGGCCTTAGGAATCCATGGGAACCCTTCCTGTCCCGTACTGCAGAAGTATATTCCGTGCAGTGATCTTACCTCAGCTAAATATTTCATCTTGTAAGCAATCTTGTTTTGCGTAAAGTAATTCTGGCTGCTCCGTCTGTGATGTGTTCAGAATGAGAGACTGGTACTGTAAATCTCGGATGGCACGGAGGAGGTAATGAAGCAAGGTTTTAATCGGGTGCTCGGACATGACGGCGATACGTACGCCTCTTACAGTCCTCCAACTGCGGACAAGAGATACGTATGGGAAGGACATGACAGTAAGTCCTTGTAAACATTGTTGCTCCACCATGTCTCAGGAGCGGTCGAGCCCAGGACATGTCATCCCGCCGGGGCTGGAGCCGTCAAAATGCCTGACTAGATTCCGCCTTAAAATACTTTATTTTCTCTTTGACTAAAGAAGTACGCGTGGGAGTGCAAAACGATGAGCTGGTGTAGATATTTCAGCAGCACCGACTCCCCCTGAGCGGTACGGCCCAGCGAATTGCCAGCAAAAAACTCCACTGAACAGAAGCTACTTGGAAAAATATGGTAGGTAGTTTTCCCTGTTTTTTTCCTTACCCCGTGCATATACTTGATCCTTGTCGTTTCTACTTCTACCACTTTCCCATATGAATGTGCTGGTCTGACGAGGAGTTATCGAAAGCAAACGTATGCTCGCCAACTGGTTCTCTGAAAAAAGTGGACCGTCAACGTCCCAAGCAAAGGTTATTGCTTGAAAAAGGGGGGATGCTGCGCTTAAAATACGGAGGGTGACATGGAGGCTGCAATTGAAGAACGCGAAGAAACGTTCTAACGCGTTCACCGGAGGTGAGGTCCTCGTAAGTATCACTTTGTAGGGCCTCACGTGCGTACAAGAATTCCGCCTCCAACACCTACAGCGTGCTAAGAATCACGTGATCGCGGCTTCCGAGCGGCCGGAACATGCGTACATGCGGTCTCTAAGGCAGCCAATTGCAGGTGTTGCAATCACGGGGTGTTGCAGACTGGTCCCAATTGATAGTTAGTTTTGCACAAGTGAATAGTGCAGCCCTTTGTCATATGTTTGCTTATAACCGACTTTTTATAGTTAATCTATTCGTTAAGCATTTCCTAAACTCGCATTGGTAAGGATCGGGAGGAGATGCCCAAACACTTTGTGGCATGCAAGGAATACCTACCATACTTACTTAAGCGGGTTTTAGTCCGACACAATTATTTCGGTTTAGTGATGCATCGTTCGAGGATGGGTCGTCTGTTGTAGACGGTCTGGTGCATTATCTACAATGACCTCATCTCAGAGAGTTGAGGAGCAATCGTTGTCGACACAACGTTTATTTTTTTTAATTGTCCTGCTTAATTTGGGTTGCTATATGTCAGCGCAATAAAACTTCCCCACCCGAAAAACGTATTTACTAAGTATCTATACTTATTCTGCCATTCCTCTATGCATACATGTGCCCCGCCCCTAAAACTCCTATTGCCACCTTTTCCCGTAAGACAGGCAACTTTGGCTGGTCGTGTGTGTGTTTGGGGTCCTTCACCCGATCGTTGCCCTTGCATTTATTCTCTTTTGTTCAAGTTGGTGTTTATGTAACGTTTACTCGGACACACCAACTGGTGTGAGTTTTGATTTCGCTAATTGACTTTTCACCCACTGCCTTTGTTCTTCACTGAGCGGCGTTGATAGTTAAGTCCGTTCTGGTGTGGTCGTTTCGCTGGGCTTTTTTCGACTTGGTTTTAGCGTGTGATCGCGTTACCGATTGACGTGGCCCGCTAAAGTGGTGACTCCTGAATGAGAACGGGCGCCGTCTTTGCACGCTGACAATAGCCAACCAGCCGTTGTGCAGTGCCGTATTGGCTCTTTTCTCGCGCGCACTCACAGCCATGACGGACGCTCCTGCTAGTGGAGGCGATGCTATAAGCGCAGTAACACTGTCCCTACCAGACTTCTGGATGAAAGCACCAAGTCCTAATCAGGCACATTCCCCAGACCCGACGCACGGTTCAGCCATGCACACCTGGACGTCGTGGGCCCCTTGTCTCCATCCAATGGCTATACTCACCTTACTCGCGTCCATCGGTACGCCTGCTGGGCTGAAGCCGAATGTGCAGGCTGGAGCCATCGTGAAGGCATTCGTCAATAGTTGGGTTGCCATGTTCGGTGCCCCATCCACAGTTACGACTGATCGTGGTGTCCATTTTGGGTCTGCTCTCTTCCAAACTCGCTTCAATTTTCTTGGGTGCACACGCATTCGGACGACAGCCTACCACCCAGATGCTAACGGGATGGTTGATCGTTCCCATCATCAGGTAGAGACCACCGTGCATGTCGCAAAAGACCCAAGAAACTGGTCAGACAACCTCCCCTTGCACTGCTAGCATTTGCGCAGATCTGAAGTCGAATTTGGACTGT